TACCTCCAGCTCCAGCGCCTCCAGCGCCAGCGCCTCCAGCTCTAAAGCCCGCAGCACCACCAGCTCCGGCAGCTCCAGCACCTCCAGGACGAGCACCAGCTCCTCCAGCAGCTCCAGAACCTCCAGCCCCTAGGCCTCCAGCAGCAGCACCCCCAGAACCGGCACCTCCAGCTCCAGGGTCTCCTACTCGAGGGTCGACAGGACCAGCTCCAGAGCCTCCAGCTCCAGGGCCTCCAGCAGCAGCACCCCCAGAACCGGCACCTCCAGCTCCAGGGTCTCCAACTCGAGGGTCGACAGCACCAGCTCCAGGGCCTCCAGCTCCAGTGCCCCCAGCAGCAACACCCCCAGAACCGGCACCTCCAGCTCCAGGGTCTCCAACTCTAGGGTCGACAGCACCACCTCCAGGTCCCCCAGCTCCAGTGCCTCCAGCAGCAGTACCCCCAGAACCGGCACCTCCAGCCCCAGGGTCTCCAGCTCCAGCGCCTCCAGCTCCAGTGCCTCCAGCTCCGGCAGCGCGACTCCGAAGGCGGGTGCGCGAAGCAAGCCACTCGCGTAGCTGCCGCGGCGAGAGAGGTGACTGCTGCAACGCGGCACCAGGAGGACCTCCAGCAGACTCAGCACCCCTAGGCTCAGCACCAACAGACTCAGTACCCCCTGGGCCAGAACCTCGAGGGCCAGCACCTCCAGCTAAAGTGCCTCCAACACCACGGACCCCGGCAGCTCGAGTACCTCTGGTACGAGCACCTCCAGGACCCTCAGCGCCAGCACCCCCAGCGCCTCCACGACGAGCAGCTCCAGCAGCTCCAACCGCAGCACCTCGAGCAGCAGTACCTCCAGCACCAGCAGCACGACTCCTCAGGCGGGTACGCCACACCAGCCACTCTCGTAGCTGGTGTGGTGAGAGAGGCCCCCGTCGTGAAGAGAGACCCCCAGACTCAGCACCCTCAGTCTCAGCACCCCCAGGCTCCGCACTCGTAGGCCCAGCACCCCCAGGCTCCGCACCCCCCAGCACCTCACGCACAGGCTCAGCACCCCCAGACGCAGCACCCCCAGCAGCACCTCTCGCAGCAGCACCTGAGTCGCTAGTGTCCTCTACAGGCTCAGCCACGGGGGGAGGGTCTACCTGAGACACACCTGAAGGAGCAGGACCCTGAGGGGGGAGGGGGTTTACCAGAGGGGGACCTGGAGTGAGGAAAAGCGGCGGGGGAGGGAGAGGGGCAGTGCGGTAGGGGAAGAGACGGTAGAAAGGAACCGACTCGTCAAAGGTGACGTCCTGAGAGGGGAAGAAACGGCGCGAGGTGGGATGGTAAAACTGCCAGCCAGGCGCATCAGGGACAAAGCCAAGGAAGACACAGGGAATGGTGCGGGATGAGAGCTTGTCCGCGGACGTATCGAGGACAAGGGCACGAGCACCCCAGACTCGGAAACGCGACGCATTGCCAACCTCCCCCGTCCAACGCAGTGTGGGCGAGGTCTCCGGCAAGGAGACACGGGGCCAGAGGTTGAGCTGTTGCGCGGCGTACCGGACCGCAAACGGCCACAGAAAATGGGGAGCCGCCGCATGGATCAAGGAGGTACGTGCGATCTCCATGACCAAGCCAATGCGGCGCTCAGCAACCCCATTTTGCTGCAGTGAGCCCGGAAGCGTGAACGACTGCTCGATGCCCTCCCCCTGACAGAAGGCCCGCAAGAGGTCGGAGGTGAACTCACCACCTCTGTCAGAGTGCAGACGCAGGACAGGAAGGTCCTGGCGGAACCTGCGGCGGAGCTGGAGACGAACTGCTCGGATCCAAGGGATCAGGACAGCAGGGACCTCACCCTTGGTGCACAAGGGGAAGACCGTGGTGTAACGCGAGTAGTCGTCGACAACCAGCAGAAAGTACCGCTCACCGCCCTGTCCACGAACGCGGGCTGGCCCCCACACGTCCAGGTGGAGGGTCTGCAGAGGAGCCTCTGTCGCGGGAAACGAGGAGTGAGGAGCGGCGCGCTGCCGCCCCTCGACGCAAGGAAGGCAGGGCGGCGCAGGGGAGGCAGGGAGGGGAGGGAGAGACCGGGGAAGAACAGACACAAGGAGGCGACGGTGCATGCCACGTAGACGTGGCAAGGAGGGGTGACCCAGACGGTGGTGCCAGAGAAGAGTCTGGTGCTACAGGGAGCGACACTCACAAGGGGAGGCTACCTGACCTGACGCAGACACCTGACCAGTAGCAGCTACCTGAGGAGGCGCAGTCGTCAGTGTGTAAAGACTCAACCCTGGCCGACGGGTAAACGTGGCCAGGTGGCGGCCGGTCCGGGAGCACGTACAGATCGCCACACGCTGTCCTCCAGAGGTAAAGGTGTCAACCCACTGGTCCTGGAGAACTGCGTTGCTCACCAAGTTCGTAGCGAACGAGGGGAGGTGGAGGCCTGTCAGTGAGCCAGACGGAACCGCCGGGCACGGGAGCACAGTGGTGGACCGTGCCAGAACTGGGCCCCCTGAGGGGTCAGCCAGAGACACTACAACAGGTGCAGGAAGTGGTGTGAGTGCGGTACTGTCGTGAAAGAAACAGCGGGAAGCACCTGAGTCAAGCGTGAAGGTGTGCAAGGCCTCAGCAGGCGCAGTACCTGAGAGAGCAGACTCTCTAGCACCTAAGGCAGCAGCATCACTAGCACCTAGAGCAGTAACCTCTATACCGGGGTCGTGCTGCACACACAGGTAACAGTCACCCTCAGCACCACCAGGCAAAGCATACATTGCAGTAAGGATGGCGTCATAGTCTAAAGCAAAGACATCAACGCCCGACCTAAGCAGCTCAAGCCAGTGGGGGATCTCAGCATCGTCTCCAAACTCTACGTGCCAGGCGTCACTCAAATAGGAGAAGCAGCGGGACTGTGCGTGACCAGGTGCCCCACAGGTCTGACCAGCTCGACGACCTATGCGAATGATGTACGGGCAGCGACCAGGACTCGGAGACGTCCCACGCTGGTAAAGCCACTCACGAAGCTGCTGGGGCGTAAGGGTCGGACGCCACTGTAGCTGCATATGGCCACCTCCAGAAACTCCGCACCGAACAGCGCCACAGTGACTGCTACTACGGTCGCCACCACTCCCACGGCTGCCACCACCGCCGGCACCACTCCCACTGCTGCTGCGAAGTGAAGCCATGGCGGGCAAGCTCGGAGGAGCGTGACATCTAGGGCAGGACGGAGTGAAGGCAATAGCACGAGTAGCAGCAGCAGCAGTAAGAGCAGCAGAGCGGCTCGGCGAGGCTAGGTTGTAGCACCTCCAGTACTCCTAGCAGTACCTCCACCAGCAGCAGCAGCAGTAGGGTGGATCAGGTTGGGCAGGGCGGCTCGTGCTGGGCGGCGCGACTCGGCCTGGGCGGCGCGGGCAGCAGGGCGCGCGCTGTGCAGGGCAGCAGGGCGCGACGCGTGGACTGCAGCAGGGTGCGACGCGCGGGCAGCAGGGCGCGGTGCGCGAGCTGCAGCAGGGCGCGAGGCGCCGGCTGCAGCAGGGCGCAACGCGCGGGGCAGCAGGGCGCGACGGCAGGCTGCAGCAGGGCGCGACGCGCGGGGCAGTAGGGCGCGACGCACGGGCTGCAGCAGGGCGCGACGTGCGGTGCAGCAGAGCGCGACGCGCTGGCTGTAGCAGAGCACGACGCCTTGGCTGCAGCAGATCGCGACGCGCGGGGCAGACGTAGGGCGCGACGCGCAAGGCAGCAGGGCGCGACGCGCAGGGCAGCAGGGCGCGAGCTGCAGCAGGACGCGGGGCAGGGCAGGGCGCGCGCGGGGCAGCGCGACGCGGGGCAGGGCAGGGCGTGCGCGGGGCAGCGTGACGCAAGGCAGGGCAGGGCGTGCGCGAGGCAGCGCGACGCAAGGCAGGGCAGGGCGTGCGCGGAGCAGCGCGACGCAAGGCAGGGCAGGGTGTGCGCGGGGCAGCGCGACGCAAGGCAGGGCAGGGCAGGGCGCGCGCTATAGGGCAGCGCAGGGCAAGGCGTGGGGTAACGCGGTTACTGCAGTCGGACACTAGGTAATGGTGAGCCCGAAAAAAAAACGGTCATACGGACCTACTGCTCTAATACCATGTCAAGATAGCAAGCAGGAATGGCTGCATTGAAAGGATTGTGGGTACAAGTACTAACCATAACATTGGGTTGTACCCCATACAGGCTACCCCACTATAGCCTACACTGAACTAGCACATATATAGTTTGACAGTTAGTGGAAAGACGAGTGTCAATAAAAACAAGGATATCAGGGAGGGTGTGCAACCAAGCTTTAAGCTCATCCATTTTTGTGATAGAGTTCAACCCATTTATATTGAGGCATTGGATAGAGAGTTATGTATTCATTTTATAACCCTTTGTGTACCCCAGTGTGCCGCGGCACACTCATCCACGGGGTGAGAGGTTTGGTGATACAGACAACAAGGAGGCAATTTGAGGCATATTTCCAGATAGATCCCCAAGCGAGTACAGGCAAGAGCGGCCCAGCCTAGTAAGGAGGAAGGAATCGTAAGGCGCATACTAGAACTGAACGACCTGAGTAAGCAAAGCTCACACCCCGTGGGAACAAGAGCCACACATTCTCTGAAACACGCAAATATACACAGCGTGGTACGCGTGCTTGACGCGTGGTGGTTGCTGGTAGCATGCAACTCCTCTTCCCGGGCCAGCCACCTCACGCTCAGCTCTCTGGCTGTATTTGCTCTGTGTAGGCTTGGTCCCTCTGAGCCTGCATGGCTTTGTTCCTCGTCAGACTGGCACCCTCTTACGCCAGCTGACCCTTTCTGCGCTTTAGCACTGGATGCCGCTCACACAATCCTTCGTGGGTCGGTTTTTCGTCCTCCGTTGGGCCTATGCCTTCACGTGCCCCGTGCGTTTCTCTCGACTTCCTCTCGCTCACAAGCTCGCGGCAATGCGCCTCATCGTACTCCTGGGCCAATTCCCGTATATCTAGATCTGTCCCAAGCTGTTGTCTTCCGCACCTCCTTCCCGGTCAGCTTTCCTCCTAAGCTTACCATGGAGCACTCGTCTGCCTTTGACGCGGTTATGGCAGGCAACGCGGGGATCACCCCTTCGTTCAGTGATCTACTTGGTGACGGGTCTCCCGTGGCCAAGAAGGTGTGCAAAGCCGCCTCCTCTTCTTCTTCCAAGCTCTCGGGTTCGGCTCCCATTCCGGTTCGTGCTGCGAACGTGGAAGTCTCATCCGCTCCTTCTCTGGGTGCGCCTGGCAAGCGCTTCCGCCGCCTTTGTGCTCAGCGTGACACGGTCGGTGAGACTGTGACTGATGTGGAACGTGACCTTGATACTCTTGTCGCCATGATTTTCCCTGAGCATCTCGCTGAGCTGGATCGCAAGGATATCGTCTCGTTTATAAAAAAAAGTCTCTGTCGTCCCTATTTCAAGAATTGGCAGATCCCCTCCTTCAAATCGATGGCCGGTGATAATCTGAAGTTCGGCAAGCGTATATACGCCCGACAGATCCTTCAGTTCCCCAACAAGGAAGCGGTCGGGGACTTCCGTGCCCGTCCCCCGATCTTCTTCTCCCCGCCCCATGGCCCTGCTGTCGAGCTGAAGGTCTACGTCGACCATGCTCCCGATTTCACTGCGGCTAAGGCGCGCGGTGAGACGCACATCGTTCTCCGCAACATCCCGTTGGGGCTCACTGAGGAGAAGCTGATCGCAATTCTGATGAACGGCAAGAATCGGGAAGGTCAGAAGTGGATCTCTGACCTCCTGTACTTACACACTGCATCCGATCCCTACGAGGAGATGTTTCTGTCAAAGGTCCACTGGTGATCCCCGATTGATCCTAGGGAAGGGTTACAGGCACGTCGGCCTGGGGGGTTATGGGCGCACTCACCCGCTACACAAACAAGCCCTTTTATCCCAGTGGTTAGTGGCTGGGATTCTGACATGCTATCAGAGCGAAGGTCTCGGGTTCGAATCCCAGTGTATGCACCTCGGGCATCCCATTGCGGGGGGGTGTCAAAGGTCCACTGGTGATCCCCGATTGATCCTAGGGAAGGGTTACAGGCACGTCGGCCTGGGGGGTTATGGGCGCACTCACCCGCTACACAAACAAGCCCTTTTATCCCAGTGGTTAGTGGCTGGGATTCTGACAGTTTCAACTGCATATGCATGGCATCGTCACGCCCATGATTGGTGACACGGCTTCAGTGTTACCTCGCCGGTAATCTGGATCCCTGAAGTGCGCGAGCCGGTCCTTGTGAACCTCTCCTGCCACTCCTGTGGTATCTGCTCGAGCAACCACCGTACCAGGGATCACCATGTGTTCCCGACGATTCGCCGCAACAAGATCAACAACCCGTACTCGATCTCGGTCGCTCAGCTGCAGAACGTTAATGGTGTGGTCCCGTTCACCCCCGCAAATCCCTGTGTTACTCGCTCTAGATCGCTGTACACACCTTTTTTCTGGCTCCCTGGCCATTGTCGGTTTCCTTTACTCTTGTCAGCGAGGTGGCTTGCATCACGTCTAGGGTCAACCCTGCCAGTCTCTGGTCAGGCGGCCCGTCCTCTCTCTCTTTCACCGTTCGTATCTTGTCATCCCCTCGGCCGTACTACCACGGTCCGGGTAGTTTCACCTTTGCTCCCATCTTCTTGTTTGGCCTTTTGCTCTCCTGGCAGCCAAAGCTCTCGGACACTCTCCTGCCGCCAACAGGGTCAAGCAGGACCTCGGACTCCTTTTCATCGGCCTCGACAGCGATGTCGAGGCCTGGACCTGCTGTGCCTGCGATTTCATTTGCGGTTGGACTATCGGCACGGCGCTCGCTCATGGCGACACGCCGCAGCATCTCCGTCGTCTGCAGACATCCGGCCCTCTCCTGAAAGAGGAATTTGGAGATTTGAAGGTCCATATGTTCCTGAAAAACGACAAGCTCGTGCAGTTCCTGTCCAAGGAGTAGTACCACTGTGGTCAGGTGAGAGATATGGTTGACTGGTTCCGTGAATGAGGTTGGTGGTTGTGAAATGGAGCAGTTCACCTTGGAAGGTAAATCGTACCAATCTGAGCCGTACACGAACGTATAATACCGCACTTTATGAAACGCATTGATAACATGAATCCAGCCCTTGCGCCATCCTGAAGTTGGATCACTTTTCCACATCTGCACCGCAGAAATCCACGCCAGAACAAATGACGACTTCTGATTTCTAGGATAAACTGGACCGTAAAAGAACGACCTATTGAAAAAGCGGAGAAGCTAATCACGCGTATCATTTTTGCGGCGAACCTCGCCATCCAGCCCGGGAGAAAAGATTTGGTGCGAATACCACAACTGGTGGATTCCTGTCCAGACAACCAGCACGAATCTGGGCGCAAATATTTCGTCCGCGCCGCACCGCCAAACATTTTCCCGAGACGCTACGTTCCGCACATCTCGGGACGGGATCGTGGTAAGGCAAGCAAGCAAATTCATCCCGCACATGACCACTCCCCTTCCAACGAGGTTGGCACATCAATTTCGAGATTCGTGACGGTAAGGACGAGTTTGAACACGATGCGGATCGGTACCGTGAGGCAACATTAAGTCTTCATAACGCCGCCTTACTGAACCGATTGGAAACGTATTTAACACCTCTAGAACTCGTCACGAGTTTTGATTTAGTGAAGGGTCCACTCCCCCGGCTTTTCTCCCTGTCTCCAAACACATCCTTGGGCAAGCACCAGCAACACATCCGACGCTGTCCCATCCCATTTTCCATTCCCTCGCCCCTTCTCTTGATCCATTCGACCAACTTGTCCCATCCCGCACCGCAGAAATCCCACATCAAGCCATTTTCCGACGAATACATACAGTACAAACCACATCGTGCCATTCCTTGGCACCACATATTTCTCCCATGACCAGAATCTCCCCTAACAATGCTCCGCCTTTCACGGAATCCACCGAGTCGCACACAGCAAGTGGCTCCTGCCTACCTGTCCTTGATCTGTCCTCATCTAGGCGGCCATACCCCACGCGCGCAGGTCTGCCGTGCCTAGTACACTTATTTCTAGTCGATTCGAGCGAGACTCGAAATGAGTTATCGTGTCATCGTCTAGGCCATGATTGGCCACATGCCGTCGTACCTGTCGTCCTCATATAGCTTATTTCCTCACGACGCCAAGCTAAAATAGTTTATCCTGTAACTAGTCTACCGCTCAAACCCCCTCTTTGTGTGGTAAGGAGTCCACTGTCGATGCAGACGAGGACCCGCGTAATATTTTTTAAACGACCTTCTGTACTAAGAAGCGCTAAATTTAATATATGATAAAACCACAAAAAAGAGGTCAACCACAATTGCTTAGCGCCCACTTGTGCGCGCTTGAACCTCGACGCTAGTACGTCATTCCTGTAAACGAAGACCTCACGCGAGCTCGGATACTAGGGCGGAACTCGACGTTTCTAGTTCCACTTCAACCTTAGTCGTGACAGTTTACCAGACTACCATAGTTTTAGTATTGACTTGGTCCGATCAAGCGCGGATAACACAAGAGCTCAGTTCTAGTGGTGAAGCCTCTTTCCAACCTCAGGCCACGCGCTAACCCTCGCCTTAGCTGATGTTGAACCGTTGGCTTTAGAGACGTCTCGCACGACACATTGCACAGAATGCGGCAGACAAGTCGAGTCAGCGCGTTGCTCATCATGCTCTCGCTCATCTCTCTTTTTCTCGTCGCCTGCTGCTCCACTCGCGCCGCTGTCGGTCAGAACGTCTCTACCCCCTTCGAATTTCGGTCGTTGAGTTTTCCCAGCGATGCTGACTCACCGTTGCTTCCGACAATGTTCCACGGCCGCCCCACCAGTCGCGCACTGGCGGGCGGCGGCGCATTGGCGGAAGGCGTAGGCGGGACAGCACCGCGGCAGGCGCAGCCAAAGGGACGCGCGGAACCAGCGGGAATAGCTTCCGCGGAGGTGGTGGGGAGCGCGGAGACTGAGGAAGGGGGACCGGTGGCGTTTGGGGGGCGTCGCATTTCGTCGCTTGCGGGCGTCGCAACAGCAGGGAGTCAGATGAAGGGGCGGAGCCCCGCGGATGGGCTAACCCCGCGGGGCGTTCGTGGAACGACAGGGGCAGAGAAAGGCGCCCAAACGCGGAGGCGAAGTCGGGGCGCGGGGAAGCACAAACCGCACGCGGGGTCGAACAAACCGGGCAGGAAAACGGGCAAGAAAACGGGCAGAAAAGCTGGCAGGAAGAGAGCTGCGGAGGACCCGCTTTTCCCGTGGGTTGGGAAGCCGCGACTGGTGACGCTCGACGCGACGAAACGAGGGAAATGCTTGGACGGCAGGTGATTCACTGACTACGGCAGGTGATTCACTGACTGATTGAGGATGGGTTGTCGGGCCGTGACTGCTGGGCAGTGTGTGGCAAAAGGAGGGCGTCACTGGGCAGGATGAGGGAAGGCCGATGCTTGCACGCCGAGGTGACTCACTGACTGACTTAAGTTTAGTTCTAGGGCTGGGTGCTGCCATGATGACGTGTGCTAGGCCGTGCATGGTTGTGTAACTTGCGGAGCTGGTATCTGTGGATGGGATGAAACGAGGGCGATGCCTGGACGGCAGGTGACTGAATGACGATGTCGATAATTTTCTCGCCGTAAGGGAGATGGCATACCGCTTCCTCCCTTCTCTCGAACCCTCCCGCCAATGCGCGTCCTTTCTGCTCCGCCACGCTTCCCGCTTCTATTCCAGTTGAATCAGTAATCGTGGTAGCCTGGTTTCGAGGCGCCTAAAAGCCGACGTCTCTAACTCCTCTCTACTCCATCTCAGTCACTTACCAATCTCTCTCCCCCTCTCCTTGTCTCCTCCCCAACATTCTTGCATTCCGCGTTATTGCAGCTCCCCCGCGTTTGTCATCCGAAGCGGATATGGTACAGGAGTGAACAAGTGGATCTTTTATCTTGAGGTAAGAAACACAGTAGAACTTGTACAAGTGCAGTTTCGAAACAATGTATGTCAAATGATCTGTCATACGTAAAACTCCATACTCGTTTGTGTCCCACCCTTTTGTGTCCCACTTGTGTGTGCCACATTCGTTTCTGTCTCAGGGCGGAGGTTGGTGCTTCAGTGTAAAGCAGTGCGCGGTTCGCACCAAGACTGTGCTTGGGTCCTCGCGTTACTACAACCAATCGGTACAGTCACGCTTAATGTCTCCCCGTTACAAGAGATAACAGCAATATTCACCCTTCTCTCTATGTCGTGCGTACCCAGTCGTACGCAAACCCCCTAATTTCTTGCACCCTGTTCCCTCCCCTTACCCCTTACTATTCCCTCCCTCTCTCCCCCTCTTCCCCCCCTACCCGTTCCCTCCCTCTCTCCCCACTCCATTCCCTCAATCGGTCCCTCCCATTCTTTCCCTCTATGCCTCCTCATTCCCTACCTCTCTCCCTCCTATTCTTTACCTCTGCCTCCCCATTCACTCCCTCTCTCCCTCCCAGTTTTGTCCCATGTCCCCCAGTCTCAACCCTCCCTCCTTTACACAGCTTCCCTCACTCCCTCGCTCCCCCACTCATGGCCCCCAGCCCCAACCCCCCACATCCTTAACCACACTGCTTCGTGACCCGGAATTCCCCTCTCCTTTCCCTCCCATGCCTCGATTTTCAGTCAAGGATTATGCTCCAAGTTTTCCTTCATAATCTCCGTTCCTTGTTGTTCTGCTCCTTTTCAGCCTCTTTTATCGCGCCACCTTTTAGGGCGTGTAACATTGTAGTGAAAATAAAACCATTATTCCTGGCCCAACCCTTCGTGTCTCGCTGTTCATTCCATCAGAACGACATTGACTTGGCCGGAATCGCGAGCAGCGACATCAAGGTAAGAACACTGCCTGTTGTTTTTAACAGCACGCTTCACGTATATAAAATGTGTATGATTACACAAAGAAGAAATATATGAATGGTGTGGTATCAATTGTGAAAATAAATATCCATTACAGCATTAACATCAATATTCTATCTGTGATTTTTGGGACGGTATACAGCGTCTGTCGGCCGTCCCCAAATTTATTACAAATGGAACTTTTTTTTCCAAAACTAGAAACTGGTGCAGCTTTCACTGGAATCTACCTAAAAGTCAGCACTACTTGACTGTCACCTTTTGGCTAGCATTACTCCCAGTTGACCTATTATCGCGCTATTTTTTTTTTTTTTTTTTTTTTTTCCTAGTACCCCCAGATCAACCCTGGCTTCCACAACTGGAACTTCGTCATTTTCAAATACTGCGACGGCGCTGCTTTCGCGGGCAGCCGCGGCGTCGTGCAGCCGCGTAACGTCAACAGCAACAAGCCACCCGTCTACATGGAAGGCCGGTGGAACCTTATAGGGATAGTGGAGGAGCTTTTAGCGAAGCAGAATCTGAGGCAGGCTACAGACGTGCTGTTGACCGGCTGTAGCGCCGGGGGACAAGGGGTCAGCATGGTGTGTGATGGTGTTGCCAAGTGGATGGCTCAGTTCGGAGCCAAGACTCGCTGCCTCATGGACGCTGGATTCTTCATGGGTAAGGATGTGTTGCATTCGGTTCCACTAGGTTGCAGTAGGTTGCACTATGAGGGGGTAAAAACTGGCTGGTAGGTGGGTGTGGCATGTAATGGTGTTGCCAAGTGGATGGCTCAGTTCGTACCAATATGTCACAAGTGCATCCCTTCCCTTCTCTTGCCCCTTCTCCCCTTTTATCCCCCATTCCCTCCTTCCCCTCCGGAAATCCCCACTGTACGAGGCTCGTACTCCTTCCGATGGTCCCACCCCACCCAACTCCTTCCCATCCCTCTCCTGCACCCCTCCCCTCCAGACATCCCCACCGTACGAGGCGCGTACGCCTTCCGCCGTCGGATGAGCCAGCTGGCGTCAACAGCAAATCTTGCGCAATCCAGCTATGACGTGGGCTGCGCTGCTGGTCAGTGTGTGTTGTGAGACTGTACGAGGGTGATTGCCTAAGTGTGATTCTATGGAGTGGATCTGTCGGGCTGAGGGGATGAGCCAGCTGGCATCAACAGCAAATCTCGGTCAATCCAGCTATGACCAGGGATACTCTCACGTATGCGTGTGATTGTACGAGTGTGATATGGATGGGTGTGATTGTACGAGTGTGATATGGGTGGGGGTGATTGTACGAGTGTGATATAGATGGGCGCCTGTGTGATGCACAGGAATGAGCCAGGTGGCATCCACAGCAGATCTTAAGACGATCCAGCTATGATCATGGCTGCTGGTGAGTAACAGAACATGTGGGTGTGATAATATGATGTATGATAGTACGATGTGTGATAGTATGATGTGTGATAGTATGATGTCTCCAGGCGTGGACTGCTGGTGGGAAAGAGGGCTTGTGGTGTGACTGTATGCTGTGTGACTGTATCAGTGTGCCTGTGTAAGTGGAAAAGATTTCGAGTTGGAGGAATGAGCCAGCTGGCATCAACACTGGGCCTTGGGCAGTCCAGCTATGACCAGGGATAGGCTGCTGGTTGAAAGTATGTGTGATTGGGGCATAAGAACACACACTCACACACACACACACACACACACTCACACACACACACACACACACACACACACACACACAAGTCCCTGTTTTGCGTTTCGGAACCTTGTTCCTCTTCCAACCCCCTTTCTATTCCACCCTCCCCATCCCGTTCTCCTGTCCCCCTTATAAACAGCTTTCCGAGGAACAAAGCAGTCATGGAAGTGTACCTTCCCCGAGTACAACCTGCATTTCGTCAGCACGCCTACATTCATCCTCAATAGTAACATCGACTACAAGGCTATAGCGATGACTCTTGTCGGGACGAGTAAACCCGTTACACACCCGCTTATGCACTGCTACTATTCCGCAGGATTAAACGATTGTACTCCGGAACAGCGAAGCTCGATTGGCAGATATGCAACTCGGGTTATGACTACAGTGCGAGGCGTGGTGGATAATGCTAAGCGACGAGGAGCAGCATTTACTTCGTTTGTTTATCAAACAAAATCGCATTGTATGTTAGGGGATCCTGCGTGGCAAAGTGTAGTTTCGCCCCAGTGGCCTGGGAAGAACCTCCCATGGGCTATTAGCGAGTGGTACTATGGTGCAGCAGTTGCTGCCCGTCTGCACAGGCATAGATAGTAAGGTGTAGTGTTATCAACCAGCTGTTTTGTTTCCATATATTTCCATATTTTGTACTATATATTATGTTATTGTTTTACATCTCTGGGCATTTAACCTTGAAATCAGTGCAGCTTTGTTAGTCAAGAGTCAAGTCACAATGGCACACACATGGGACCACCCGCACCCAGGCACGCACTCAAACTGTTAACTAAAAGTTCACAAAGAAAGGGATACCAGTACTCCCGTAGACACTCGAAATTCAAGAGCCATAACATTGGAGATCAATACAGACGTAACACTGTTACACTGGTACCCGGCGCTACTACCACGTGACCATTACTGTACTTAAAGCTTTAATAAGCCTCAAGAGCAACCACATTAGAGATCAGTACAGATGTTACGCTGCTTCCTGGTGCCACAACAAGCAAAGACAGCGGCACAGCCTCATGGTTCTCTGACAAAACACGGCTCCCCGTCTCTGTATAAGACGTCCTGTACACCTCAATAGAAGCCGCGGTAGCCTGGTTGTACACTCCAAAAGAGGATATCGAAAGCGTTACGTTGTAATCCGCTGAGTCTTGATTCACGATGAATACTGACAACAGGTGCTGCCCGGGATGGAAAAAGGCGGCTACAGAATGATGACACCCCTCAGATGAATCGATTTTCAAGGGGAAACTCCCCTTGGGAGCGCCTCGAATAAATTGCCATAACACGTAGTATTTCTTTGAAAACGTAACTTGTAACGGAGGAGCGGAGGAGTCGTGGATTCGGTTGTATGGGATAACGAAGAGGCCCCAATTGAGTGCAGAAGGGTCCTTCTCATCCTCCTTATTGACTGCTTGCCAGAAAATCCAAGCTGAAGCTCCCAGAATATTCACCGACTGTATAATACACCTTGCAATAAACGCGGTTACTGCCATGTCATCGCCGGTTACGAAAAGCGGACCCATTTCCGACACCCACACCTCCTTCCCCAAGGCCTGTGCCCTTTCCCTTAAAGGACCAAACTTGCCTTCGATATAATCACGTGCGTTTGTGCCATCTTCCGGGGGGGAAACGTACCCATGCACGTTGATTCGGGTGAGCGCGGATTTGACTAACGGCGAAAACTCCTCCCAATTTCGAAAGGTACGCCCGGCAAAACTGTCGAAACCAGCGACTCCTGTCCGGTCGAACAACCGTCTCCTTTTAAGCGTCCCCACCACATGCGCTACAAGCATGTTAAGCTCTGTACCGTTAAAGTTACACCCCTCCTGCCGGTTACCACGCACCCACCACCCTTCTAACGCCTCATTGGCCGGATTTAACGTCGAGAACGTCACGTTCCACTCCTCCCGGAAATGCGCGACCACATCCGCTAAATACCCCGCGTACGCTAAGTAATACCCTCTTTTTAAGTTACTCTTACCGGTACTTAGCCCCGCGGTATCCCCACTGACAGTCATCCACCAAGGAGGAGAGTAAGCCACTGCCTCTACCTCATCAACTCCCCGCTCGATCGCTCCGGCCAGTACCTTCCGCTGCCGCCAATCCGCCGACCAGTCGTACGGCCCGGACGCGGTTACGCGGTAACCAGGAATCGCCATGGCTTCGCAGGCTTCTGTGAGGAACTGGGGGCTGAGGAGGGGGTTGAAGCTGCCCCCGATAAGGTATCGGGCGAGGTTCAACCCAAGGCCGATGGAGGGATGGAAGAGCAGGTCGAGGAGGAACTTGAGCTGGTGTGCTGGGAGCTTGCCGATGTAGTTTGCGAACCTGGGGGGTTGAATGCGGTGGAGAGGGGTGGAAAGAGGCAGAGAGGAGGTTGGATGCGGTGAGTGGGGATGGACAACCAGGTGGTACAAGGTTCAACCCGAGGCCGATGGAGGGATGGGAGAGCAGGTCGAGGAGGAACTTGAGCTGGTGTGCTGGGAGCTTGCCAATGTAGTTTGCGAACCTGGGGGGTTGAATGCGGTGGAGAGGGGTGGAAAGAGGCAGAGAGGAGGTTGGATGCGGTGAGTGGGGATGGACAACCAGGTGGTACAAGGTTCAACCCGAGGCCGATGGAGGGATGGAAGAGCAGGTCGAGGAGGAACTTGAGCTGGTGTGCTGGGAGCTTGCCAATGTAGTTTGCGAACCTGGGGGGTTGAATGCGGTGGAGAGGGGTGGAAAGAGGCAGAGAGGAGGTTGGATGCGGTGAGTGGGGATGGACAACCAGGTGGTACAAGGTTCAACCCGAGGCCGATGGAGGGATGGAAGAGCAGGTCGAGGAGGAACTTGAGCTGGTGTGCTGGGAGCTTGCCAATGTAGTTTGCGAACCTGGGGGGTTGAATGCGGTGGAGAGGGGTGGAAAGAGGCAGAGAGGAGGTTGGATGCGGTGAGTGGGGATGGACAACCAGGTGGTACAAGGTTCAACCCGAGGCCGATGGAGGGATGGGAGAGCAGGTCGAGGAGGAACTTGAGTTGGTGTGCTGGGAGCTTGCCAATGTAGTTTGCGAACCTGGGGGGTTGAATGCGGTGGAGAGGGGTGGAAAGAGGCAGAGAGGAGGTTGGATGCGGTGAGTGGGGATGGACAACCAGGTGGTACAAGGTTCAACCCGAGGCCGATGGAGGGATGGGAGAGCAGGTCGAGGAGGAAAGTGAGCTGGTGTGGTGGGAGCTTGCCGATGTAGTTGGCGAACCTGGGGGAGTTGGATGCGGTGAAGGGTGGTGGAAAGAGGGGGAGAGGAGGTTAGATGCGTGGAAGAGGTGTAGAGAACCAAGGCGTACGAGGTTCAGCCCAAGAGCAATGGAGGGACGGAAAAGGAGTGCGAAGAGAGGACTGAGCTGGTGAGATGGGAGCTTGCCGGTGTAGTTGGCGAACCTGGTGGACTGGGAGGTGTTTGGATGCGGTGAAGAGGGGTTGAAAGAGGTGCGGAGGCAGTACATAAAGAGAACAACTGAAAGAATGGCTATAATCAGGTGAAAACACATCTACATTGAGACATCTAAGACCTGGTTTCCTTCTCAACAGTCCAAATTCCCAACCACCCTTTACCTCGCATCAACCCCCCCCCCCCCCCCGTTCTCCTTCTTGGAGTGGCTATTGAATCGCTCATTCACCACCACCAACCCATCCCAGGTTCTCACCATCCCAAGGAGGTGCCCCATCCTCTCCACGTCTGCCCCATACGGGCAGGGGAGATGCGCACTTGAGCATGGCCTGAGAAAAACAATCAGGCAGACAGGGAAGGGTCCAATGCGGTGCAATGAGGTGAGAATGGGGCACACCCGCACATGCAGCGTGGGCCATCCTCTCCTCGTCTGCCCCACGCGGGCAGGGGAACTACGCACTGCAGGCAGCATGGCCTGGGAATCCAGATAGGCAGGGATATAGCGGGGTGCAGTGCAAAAAGTTGCGGTAAAGAACGACTTCAAAACTCATTGGATGGTGGCCCATCCTCTCCACGTCTGTCCCACGCGGGCAGGGGAACTTTGCGCTGCAGCATGCCTTGAATGATAAAATTTCCAACAGGTCTGCATGAAACTCCAAAACACAAGAACTGGTAAAAAAGGATACGTTTGAGGCGGTTCCCCCACCTGCCAAGCTGCAGACTGGGAATCTCAATTTGGTCATCAGACGTCAAGACCGACATGCTAACGCTAGAGCGCTTCCCCCACCTGCCGGTGTGCAGACTGTGAGAATCTCGGTTTCGGGACGAAGGCCTCTGCTGTCCTTGCCGTCTTTATCCTCGCCATAGTCCTTCTCGCTACTGTCCTTCCCACGACTGTAGTTCTCGCTATTGTCCTTCCCGTCATTGCCATCCCCGCCATTGTCATCCTCGGCAGCCATGCGCGGAGCCACCCTTCCCCACCCTCCCTCTCCTTCCACTCCCCAAATCACGTCGCCTTTCACATCCTTCCCTCTCAGACTATCTTCGCCTACCCTCTCCTCTCCTCCCTGATTCGCTGCTTTAACTCCGCGTATCGTCGCGTCTGCTTCTGTTGAAGTCTCCTGGAGTTTCTCCTGAATTCCGGAATTTTGCTCACGCTCCGTGGGGGTATCGGAAGCGTAACCTTCCCTAGGCAAGAGGGAAATTTGATTTCGTGTTTGGTCCACATCGTTCCGGAATTCGCGAAGGTCGTGGGTAGCAGCAGCAATTGCTGCGTCGCACACGCGTAGAGGAATGAAACATGCGACAGCGATGGCGAGCAGCAGGAGGAAAATCGTCGTCTGGCGACTCTGTGCGACAAAAGGAGCCATTTGGCTACCGCGTAGAGAAGCGAAAATCCCGCGTTGAGGAGTGAAAGCGTTGAGGAGGGAAATCCCTGCCTAGGGGAGTGGAAGCCTATATTGGTCGTGTGATATGCTTTCGAGCTGGTGATGCTGCTACCACAGTCACATCATCCCCGCTTGAAGTTGGACTTTTGCCATTTCTGCTCCTTGCGGTAGTTACGACCTTGGAAGCCATGCCAACCTCGGGAAAGCAGCCCGATCCAACCCTTAAAATTCAGGTCATTTTGATTCCTGCTCTGAGCCACATGGATCAGATACCTAAGTTATTCTAGTTACCTACTTTACAGAGCAAAACACACTGGGGAAACAGGGGGTTGTTTGAGGGGGGGGGGGGGGGGTTGTTGGGAGCGAGGGGAGATGGGCACGACCACGGCCTATGGTCAAGAAGAAGGGGGGAAGGGGGGAGGGGGGTGGAGGGGAGGAGCAGGTGCGCAGGAAATCCGGGGAAGGCTCCAACCCTCATCCGAAGATTCTTCCACACCCTTCAAATGGTAGGCTATTCTTTAAACGGAGGTGTAATTTAACGGGTACAAGTACGTGACGGCTAATGTTCTAAACGACTCCGTATTACGAAAGTTCAACTGTCGAAAATTGAGCTATTACGAGGTATTCGATCAAAGTGCTTGTCGAACATCCAACGATTCTTCCACACCCTTCAAATTGTTTCTATTTTGGATTTTGTCCTCTCCCAGGGATTACCACTCTTCGTTGACGTATTTATTGAGGATCACTTTAAAAACGAAATACCCAGGTTCGTGGATCAGGCACGGTGGTGCTGCAGCGGACAGGCCCCTTACAAGTACCCAGGTTCGTGGGCTATGCTTAAAAATGAGGTCTAATTTAACGGGTACAAGTACGTGACGGGTATTCTTCTAAACGTTTCCATCATACGAGGGATCTTCTGTAAACAATAAGGTTATAATGAGGTATTATAATGACACCGGCAGACATCGGCAGATCTTCCACACCCTTCATTTTCTTTCTGTTGTTTTTTCTACCCCTCTCAAACTTTCCCACACCCAGGTATTTCCAACTCCCACTCTGCACTTTTCCAGACGGGTCGAATTTCATATAAAACCTTTTCGACCCGTCTGGAAAAAATGAAAACCCATAAGGAAAAAACCTGCCCTGCAAACCTCTGAGCTGAGACTAAACTACACCCTGAATTCTCAGGGAGAACGGACAAATATCCGTGATTCGAGATGCCTGGTCGCAATTATCACACGGCGTCTTGAACGCAATCGTAGCAACGGGTCACGGATCCCAACCAATACCGTTCTCTATTCCTTCAAGAGGCTCCTAAACGGCAGCGCGGCTAGCACTGTATCATGGCTATCGTTTTTTCTCGCCGTGTTCTAGCGCAGCGCTTCGCATTTCGTTTCTAAAAATTCGGAGCGCGTAGTAAAAAACGTGACTAGTCAGTTACGTTTCGCCACCTTACACCATGGCAGGTCCTTATACGTAAGTTCGAGGGCGACGAGAAGGTAGCTTCTGATACCGGTGACAACCAGGAACAACCGCAATCGGCAACAGAATCAAATCCAGGGTCGAATCCGCATCCGGGATTAGATTCGGACGGAGAGCCCGCAGATTCGAAGCCTAAAGCATCTCCAGCCGAGTCGCAACCAGCAAAGCAGACAGAAAATACGTGTGTTCATGACGTGTCGCTTCCTCCATATTTTACTCCTTTCTCGACCAATCAGTGCACGGGACGATCGATGCGCCGGTTCACGAGGGTCCAATGGCGAAAACGTACCCGTTTGAGTTGGACCCGTTTCAAGCAACCTCAATAGCGTGCTTGGAGCGACGCTGATGACGGGTGAGTGACCCCCCTAACCCTCCTATCCTTACCCCCCTTCCCAATCTCTCCGCCTTTTTCACCAGGCTCTGAGCAACCAGAAGTACCGGTTATTAAGCGAAGAATTAAGTGACGTGGGGCTGATGACGGGTGACGTCACCATCGCTCTCAACGCTGCCTGCATCGTCATGACCACCGAGATCCTCCCAAAGGCAGTGCTGCTTTTGAGGCGCCCCATACGAACTCTGTGCTCTGCTCCCGTCCCCTCCCTTCCTCCGCCCCTCTTCCCCACACGCCTCCTCCCGCCTTCCCCCACCTCCCTGCCCCGCCTTTGCACCCCCCCACCAGGCTCTGAGCAACCAGAAGTATCGGGAATTAAGCGAAGAATTTAGTGACGTGGGTCTGATGACGGGTGACGTCACCATTTCGCCCAATGCTGCCTGCATCGTCACCACCACCGAGATCCTCCGATCCATGCTCTACCGAGGCTCGGAAGTGCTTCGGGAGGTTTGGGAGGAGATAATAAATTTCGACGAGATTCACTGCACGCGGGACCGGGAACGGGGCGTGGTTTGGGAGGAGAGTATAATTTTCCTACCTCTGGATGTTAAAATGGTGTTTTTGTCAACGACACTGTCGAATGCGAGGGAGTTTGTCGAGTGGATTACTTATTTGCATAAGCAGCCGTGTCATGTGGTGTACACGGATTACCGACCGACTCCCTTGCAGCATTTCGCGTTTCCTTATGGCGGGGATGGGCTGTACCTCATGGTGAACGAGCAGGGGAAGTTTATCGAGAAGAATTTCAATCGCTTAGCTAAGAGTTTCGCTAAAGCGAAAGAAACTGCGGCAGATGCGATTCCTGAACCTGCTGGGTTTGCTGGGAGAGGGAGAGGGAGGGGGGGGGAGGGGAGGGAGAGGAGGAAGGGGAGGGAGGGAAGGGGAAGGAGGGAGAGGAACAGGAGGAGGGTCTTCGGATATTTACAAGATTGTGAAGGTGAGTCGTTCTCAATACTTAAGTCTTTGTAACTTCCCCTCCTCTTTGATCCCCTCCTCACTATCCCCCTCCTTTTCTGCTCGGATCTGAGCCTACCTTGCCCTCCCTCTCGTCCCATGAACCCTAAAACCCTTCCATGCAGAGCTGCTCGCAGCTGGACTTTCGTCCAATGATTGTGCTTAGCTTCCCTCTTTCCCTCTCCTTACCCTCTCTCCCCTTACCCCCTCACTCTCCCCGCACTTCCATTCAGACCTGCTCTGAGCTGGATTTTCACCCCATGATCGTAGTCAGCTTCCGCCGGCGTGAGTGCGAGGCGTGTACCATGCAGCTGAGCTAGCTGGATTTTCTACCCATGATAGTCTTCAGCCTCTTCCCCCTCCCTTCTTACACTCCACTCACGCCGGCGTGAGTGTGAGGCGTACGCCATGCAGCTGATGAGGAGGGGCGTGAGTGTGAGGAGCGCTGCAAAGAGGTGCAAGGAGGTGAGGAGTGGTGCAAGGATTGGGATCGGGGTGTGCTTGAGTTGAGTGTGAGGCGTGTGCCATGCAGCTGAGCAAGCTGGATTTTAACAGCGAGGAGGAGAGCAAGATGGTCAAGGAGGTGAGGAGCGGTGGAAGGTGGTGCAAGGAGGTGTGGAGTGGTGCAATGTGGTGCAAGGAGGTGAGGAGTGGTGCAATGTGGTGCAAGGAGGTGAGGAGTGGTGCAATGAGGCAGGGGAATGATTAACTTCGTGCGCAACCACTTTGGGTGGTTTTTGTTACTATTACTTGCTGGCACCTTTGACCAAAAACATGGCAAGACATCAAACACTTTGGATAATCGCTGCACTTTCTTATGTGGGATCCGACTTTTTTCTTTAATGAAGAGATCAACGGCTCTGAACTTTCGTCGTCTCGCAACTTCATCATCAGCGTCAATAGACTCGGTGTGAGTGTCAAAAATATGACCTGCGTTTTTCTAGGTCATATATTTTACACTCACACCGAGTCTATTGACGCCGATGATGAAGTTGCGAGACGACGAAAATTCAGGGCCGTTGATCCCTTCAGTAAAGAAAAAATTGGATCCCACATAAGGAAGTGCAGCGATTATGCAAAGTGTTTGTGCCATGTTTTAGGTCAAGGGTGCCTGCACGTTAACAGAAAAAAAAAAAACAAAAAAAAAATGTATTTTTCTTCACCTGCTTGGGAGAAAGTTTTACCTGCCCGTCCAACTTTTTTTAGCGTATTTGTAGTATTGGAACAATGGCGTATGGCATATATACGCAAGCGTAGCGAAACGCGTCTCTGCCAACTTAGGGCTCTAACACCTCGTCCCGTCCTCCTCCGTGTTCCCCTTTCGACTTTTGAGTCGACTCAAAAGTCATCTCGCTTTCCAACCTACCCACGCACTGTCTCTAGCACCTCGTCCCGTCCTCCTCTGTGTCCTCCTCTGACAGGATGAGATTCGCGAGTACCACGCGTTGCGCCTGTCACTAGCGGAGAAGGAGAGGCGGCTCAAAGCGGAGGTGCTACGACCCGACAGATGCCTGCACTTCCTGCAGCCAGGCCGACTGGTGAGTCCCTAGGCAGGGAGGTTGTTGCTTGATGGAGGAGGGGTGGATGGATGCTGGTTCTTGCTTGATTAAAGGAGAGGCGGCTCCAATCAGAGGTGTTGCGGCCTGACTGATGCCTGCACTTCCTGCAGCCAGGCCGACTGGTAAGTGTGTGCAGGTTACGAGGGTGAACTGAGTAAGGGAGGTACTGGGTTTCTGGGTGCATCATGTATGATGGTGAAGAGGCGGCTGAAAGCAGAGGCGCTGCGGCCTGATAGATGCTGCACTTCCTGCAGCCCTTCATTCTCTTGGGTGGTAGATGGGTTGGACGACTGGGGATGGGGAGTGATCGTAAACGTCATGAAGCAGCCCTTTCAGAGCAACACCAAATCAGCCCTCATCACCCCCTCGCCCACCGCCTCTGCTGCCGCCGCTGCACCGCTCTCCACCACCTCGTACCTGGTGGACACGCTGCTGCTGTGCTCTCCCGTGGTGGACAGTGGAGGAGGGGCGGGCTCCACTGCTCAGCTTGTGCCACGCCCATGCGCGCTAGACGCGAACTGGGAGATGCATGTGGTGAGTGGGTTCTGTTTGGCTTCATCCTTCTCTCCCTCTCCCTTCCTCTTACCACCACGGCATACCTGGTGCCACGCTGCTGCTGTGCTCTCCTATGGTGGACAGTGGAGGAGGGGCGGGCTCCACTGCTCAGCTTGTGCCACGCCCATGCGCCCTAGACGGGAACGGGGAGATGCACGTGGTGAGTGCGTGGCTTCTGTGTGGCTTGAGTGGGTGCTTCTGCTTCCCATAGGGAGTGCGAGCGGAGTACATGAGGGAGGTGAACTGGTGAGGGTGTTCGAGCTCGGATCTCCTCTAGCATCTTCGGCAGGAGTAACAACAGTTGCAGCACGAGAACCGGCAGAAGATGCTAGAGTAGAACCGAGCTCGAACACCCTCACCAGTTCACCTCCCTCATGTATGCCCGCACTCCCTATGGTGCCACACATCTCCATTCCCCCCTCCCCACTGTCAGATGTCGTAGCTGGCACTTGGCTTGCAGACCCCGCCTTCTCAAAATCAGAAATCGACTCAGACGGGGTGGTGCAGCTGAAGGGGCACTCACTCACCTTCTCTCCCCCCATACTCCACCCTCTCTCCACCTTTTCCTGACTTCGTTTCCTTCTCCACCTCTCTTACCCCGCTCTCTCTCTTCAAGTCCGAGCTCCGAAATCGTTCAAGGGTCCTCAAGCGGCTGGGCCACATCGATGCAGACGGGGTGGTGCAGCTCAAGGGCCACTCACCGCTCCTCTCCCCTTCCCTTCCCAAACCTCTTTTCCTATGCTCCAACCTTTCTTCCCATCTCTCCTCTCCAGCTCTCGCTCTTCAAATTCGAGCTGAAAATCTGTTCACGAGTGCTCAAGCGTCTGGGCCACATCGACGCAGACGGGGGGGTGCAGCTCAAGGGCCGGGCGGCGTGCGTTGTCACGACAGGCGATGAGCTGCTGGTGACGGAGCTGATGCTGGAAGGGGCGTTCAACTCAATGGACCCGCACCAGTTGGTGGCTGTCGCCAGCTGCTTTTTACCCTCTGAGAAGTTGAATGAGGAGCAGGTGAGTGAAGCTGTGTCTGTTGGGTTGTCTCTCAGGCCATGAAGAACAAGTGAGGGCGCGTTCAACTCCATGGGCCCGCACCAGCTGGTAGCAGTCGCCAGCTGCTTTCTTCCTTCAGAGAAGTCCAACGAAGAACAGGTGAGTTAGTCTCCTTCAGCTCCTTCAGCTGCTGCTGCTGGTGACGGAGCTGATGATGGAGGGCGCGTTCAACTCCATGGACCCGCACCAGCTGGTAGCAGTCGCCAGCTGCTTTCTTCCTTCAGAGAAGTCCAACGAAGAACAGGTGAGTTAGTCTCCTTCAGCTCCTTCAGCTGCTGCTGCTGGTGACGGAGCTGATGATGGAGGGCGCGTTCAACTCCATGGACCCCCACCAGCTGGTGGCTGTCGCCAGCTGCTTCTTGCCTTCAGAGAAATCCAATGAGGAGCAGGTGAGGGAGTGAGGCAATTTCCAAAGCCATGCGGAACAAGTGAGTGTTTTCAGCCCCTAAAAGCTTGGGATGGGGACCTTTTCTGGCTTGGATTTGGAGGCCGCGGCGTGCGTCGTCACGACAGGCGATGAGCTGCTGGTGACGGAGTGAGTGAGAGAGTGAGTTTGTGAGTGAGAGAGTGAGTTTGTGAGTGAGAGAGTGAGTTTGTGAGTGAGTGAGTGAGTTTGTGAGTGAGAGTGAGTTTGTGAGTGAGAGAGTGAGTTTGTGAGTGAGAGAGTGAGTTTGTGAGTGAGTGAGTGAGTTTGTGAGTGAGAGTGAGTTTGTGAGTGAGAGAGTGAGTTTGTGAGTGAGAGAGTGAGTTTGTGAGTGAGTGAGTGAGTTTGTGAGTGAGTGAGTGAGTGAGTGAGTGAAAACGAGAATGAGCCGTCTTCTGTTTAGCCTATGGGGAATTGTGAGTGAGCCTTGTTCAGGATATGGGGTCATCCGTGTTGCTCTTGCCATTCAATCTCATGACTAGTATTGCCCTCCATCCCTCCACCTTTCCCCTTCTATCCCCCCAACTCAACCCCACTCCACTCCTCAAACTTTCAATTCCTCCTCCACCCCGGAATCTCCAAGACTCTGAGCAATTAGAAGTGTTTCACGTGTTGCTCTTGCCCCATCCATGTTCCATCCTCCACCTTTCCCTCCGGACAGCCTGTGTCAGCAGACTTAAAGCCGTACTACAACACACTAAGAGAGGCAGCGCAGGACATAGCGCGGGTGCAACAGGAGAAGATTGAGGTGGACGAGGAGGGGTACGTAGATCAATTCCGGCCGACGCTCATGAACGTGTTCTACCAGTGGTCCAAGGTGAGAGGTTGAGTGCGGTGCGGAGGTGAAGTTGGGCTTTTCTCAGCCCAACAGTCTGCAACCTCAAGTTGGGCTTCATGAAAGTTCCATGTGTGTGACTGCAGGGAGAGTCGTTCGGCAAGGTCATTGACAGCACGGATGTTTTTGAGGGGACGATCGTGCGTGTGGCTCGACGGCTGGATGAGCTTCTAAACGAGGTGGGTTGCTAGTTACATAACAATCAGTACCGGTTCAGTCTGAAGTCGTGCCCGATTTATCATATTTTCTGGTTGGAGTTGATGTCTTCTTTTTGTGCTACAATACGTGCAGATGAAATTGGCAGCTGAGGCAATCGGAGAACAAGCTCTTGTAGATAAGTTCACCAAGGCCAGCGAGAGCACCCGCAGAGGCATTATGTTTGCCAATTCGTTGTATGTTGAGTGACACTGTTGGAGTGGCATTCACACAACAGAATAAGCATGTGAGTATACTTTCCTGAGCAGAGTTAGTACCCTAGTAAATAGTTCATATGAGGAAACAATCTACATGTATGTTGTTTCACAGACGTTTGAAATCGATGACTGGCTAAGGAGGTATCTGGCCAGAAACCCGGAACGAAACCCCGTTACGCGATCCGGTTGGACGTAGGTGCTGCCGACCACTAGCGAGGTGGTGGCCTACTATTGAATCCTGCCTGGCGAAATTACTTTTCTCCCAGTGTGGATTTCGTTGTCGGTAGCACGAAAAAGGTTACTAGGTGTTTCGCCAGTGATCGTAAGCTATAACTCCAGTCCAGAGCAGTTCGATGTCTGAACTCGGATGCAAGTCCCTTGGGAGGACCGTCGATTCTCTAAATCGGACGGTTCCAAGCACCGCATGGCTTGGAATCAACGAGAGACATCGGACGTGCGTGACTGACAGCTCATCTCGTTCCCCTCAACGCGACGATTCGAGCGCTTCCCCCTCAACAACCCGCCACTAGTCCGACTCAAATTTTAATCTCCCCATCGAATATTTCGCTATTCCGGTCAGCCAGCCGTCCGGCGGTAGAGAAGCGAGCTCACTTTTCCAGCCATCGCAGGCGAGCTCTCTCCTCCAGCTGTCGGATGCTCTCTGGCATTGCATGGATCACGGTTTTGAGGCGTTTTGAACGCACGTTGAGTTTTTTCTGAACGTACGCTGAGACGCTAGTATATGTAATCTCAAACACCACGTGACGCGTTAAGTGCGACAGCTCAGACGTTGTTGACTACCAACTTCCAGCTGATTAGTCCGAGACATGCGATGCGCTCGGTCTAGCTGTCGCAACTTCCCAGAGTCCCCCCCGCCGAGCCAACCCAGAGCTTTATAAGAGCCGCGTTTAGGTCAATCGAGGGTTGATTGAGCTAAAGTGTTTCAAAGCTTTTTCTCCCCCGTACCATCGTTAGCGGGGAGTAAGCGGCCTGCCATTGCGGATTCTCTGCGATTCTTAGCCTTCCCCATTCTCAGCCGGCGATTCTCGACTGCGACTCTCAACAGACGACCCTGCGGCTCCTGCGACTCCTGCGACCCGTGCGACCCGTGCATCCACACCGCCACTGCTTCCTTCCTCATCCGCGCCACGGCTGTGCATGATCATGGCATCCGCGCTAAAGCCATCCACGTTATACAGTTCCTCGCCACTACATTACCACAAATCTACTACAGCTACTCATCTGCGCCGTTCGCCCTGCTTCCTTCCCCGTCGCCTTCTCTCTTGCATCAACTTCCCCCACCTCCTCCTCCTTCTCCTCTTCCTCCCTCTCGTTCCACCTTCAGTAGCCGCCGCCGCAGCAGCACATCCGTTTCCTCCTTTAACTCAACCCTCCATAGGCAACCGAAGCGAGGAGTCTTCTAACGCGTATGAAGCTACTACTCGTAAAAGCACAAATCCGCCGCGAAATCAACAAGATGCTGCCCGTGCTGCCTTTACGAGCGGATACGAAGGGGAGACTCTTAGAGGAGGTGTAGGTGTACTAGACACTGCCGCGCCGAGAGTCTTAACGGAGGCGCCTGTAGCGAATCTAACGCCGGCGAACGAGATCCTGCAGGTGTGCCGAACGGCAGGCCCCGCCACCATCGCCATTGCTCCCGATCTCAACGGACAGACCTGGAGAGGATGGGGCACGTCGCTTGCTTGGTACGCCCCTCCACCTATATTTCTGTTTTCCTTTTATTCCTTCACTTTGTGAATGTGCGCATTGCCAGGTATCTTTTGCACTGTGCGTTCTTCATTTGCTGGAGCTTACGTTTTTTTTTGCTCTTCTCCTTATGCTCATTATTATATCTTCTATCTTTAAGTTAACTGAGTTGTGCCAGCTTGCTTGCTTACACCATACCAGCATGACTGTTATGACCTTGGTCTATCCTCCTCCCTTCGAATCCTGTTCCATCCATACCTCCTCTCCTCCCACATACTCATTCGTCCCACCCACTCCCACCCCCACCCCCTCCACCCCCCCATTTCCCCACTCACTTTTCCCTATCTCCGGTTTGCCCAAAAACCAGCAGCCTCCCACCGGACCACACATCCTCGACCTTCTCTCACAGACTCACTTGGTTTCCTCTCCTTGCCCCACCGCCCATTTCCCCCAATTAATTATCTCAACATTTTGTAACTCAGGTTTGCCAATTACATCGGCAAGCTCCCACCAGACCAGCTCAGGGAACGTTCTTGGCCGGTGTCAGGAAACCTGACACGGAGCTATGAAGGGTTGAGATTGGGACTAAGATGACGTGAAACGATCCAAAGCGTTCATGTTTTCGTGTCAGCGAGTGTGACACCGGCTAAGACCGTACCCTCAATCACATCCTATCCATCCTCCACCCCTCTTCACCGCATCCAACCCCCCAACCCCAACCCCACCAGGTTCGCCAACTACATCGGCAAGCTCCCACCAGACCAGCTCAACCAAATTCGTGACCTAATCTTCGATCCATCCTCCACCCCTTCACCGCATCCAAACCCCCCAACCCCAACCCCAACCCACCAGGTTCGCCAACTATATCGGCAAGCTCCCACCGGACCAGCTCAACCAAATCCTTGACCTAATATTCGATCCCACCTCCGGGATGGGGCTCAATCTCGCGCGCTACCTTATCGGCGGCAGCTACAATCTCACAAACAGCCCTCGATTCGACACTGCGGCCTGGGAATCGTGCGCCATTCCGGGTTATAGACCGTCGGAAAACGGGCCGTATGATTGGACGAGAGACTGGCGGCAGCGGAAGGTTCTGGTCGGGGCTATAGCGAGGGGAGTGGATGAGGTAGATGCGATTATTTACTCCCCGCCCTGGTGGATGACTATAACGGGGGATACTGCTGGAAATGCTAAAGACGAGACGAATCTTCAGCCGGACGCATATGGAGCTTATGCGAACTATATGGCTGATGTGGTCGGCAGGTTTCGGACTCATTGGAATGTGACTTTCTCGACGATGAATCCGGCGAATGAGGCGCTAGAAGGGTGGTGGGTGAAAGGGGCCCGGCAGGAAGGGTGTAACTTCAAACCGAATCAGCTTGAGAAGCTGGTGTGGGCGGTGGCAGCGGCTCTGAAAAGGCGGAATCTGCGCACTGGAGTGGCCGGTTTCGACAGTTTTGTCGGGGCTACAGTAAGGTTTCGGCACAAGTTTACCGCGAGGGTAAAATCCATTTTAAAACGGATTAATGTGCACCAGTACGTGCCTCCACCCTCCAACACTTCAGATGCTCGGCAGTATGTCGAGGGAACCTATGTGAGTATGGCGAGGATGGCGATTGGGTTAGGGAAGGAGGTGTGGGTGTCGGAGGTGGGTCCGATGTGGGTGGGAGGCGGCCAAATTGACGTGGCGTTGTTCTTGGCTCGATCGGCCATTCAATCGATCAATATCATGGGAGCATCTGCGTGGATTTACTGGCAAGCGATCAACGGCGCGTCGGAGACAAACGTGAATGCGATCAAATGGGGTCTTTTTACGATCCCGTATAATCGGTTGAGCAACGATACAGCCCCGCCGCTGGATATAGTATTGACAAAGAAGTTCTATGTGTTGAAGCAGCTCGCTCATGGCTCTCCTAGAGACAGTCTGCCTTTGCAGATTGATACAAATAACGGGTGTCATCACTGCGTGGCTGCTTTCTACCACCCCACCAAGCATTTTATCTCAATTTTCATCGTCAATCAACAAGACAGCTCGTACGACCTGAGTTTTACATTTACCGCGTTTGGGCTCTTTGACCAGCCAAGTCAATGTAAAATGGAGATGTGGCGGACGTCTACGACTGAGGATGCTTCGCTGGTTGCATCACAGAATTCTGCAGACGTGCCTGCTTCATTCGCTGTTACAGCTGAAGGGCTGAGCATGACGTCTATTGTGTTTTCTAATGTCTCGTGGTTGTGAATGCACTTGCTGTATTGATTTGCTTCACTTGTGAAATTAGGTTGCCTTATACCGCATGTTCCACTGAAGCGCAGCAAGCCTGATTGCTGAGAGTTGCAGTCGGTCTGGAGGGATGCGTACAGCGTTGTAAATGGTACGGATGGTTACGCCGAGATAAAAAGCGGTACATATTCATAGGCTGCCGTAATCTTGACCCTGATCAACTTCCAACGGTCAAGTAGGCGGTGGATACTTTGATCGCAAAAATATGATCGTGTTTTCTGATTGGCCAATTTCCGCGGTTGCAGTCAGCCGATTGGTTGTCATGTGAAAACTGGGCAGCGAATATTCGAGGGTACAATACTTTTTTTCCGAGACTCCCACGCTCCCTGGCCCTTCTTGGCAGTCACGAGAGTTCAAACCCACAACGTGTTTGAATTTTGAAAAGTCAGGATAATATCAGAAGTTTTTTTATGTACAGGAAATATATAAGTTAGCGTGTGAGGTAACCTTTCACACCACCGCGAATTTCCGTAATCTTACTGACATGACCCTGCAACGAGCTTTGTGCAAACGCGGTGCAAAATTCTCCTGCATTGCATCGCTTTTCAATCGAGAATGGAGCTCCCAGTGATGCATGCATGGCTCCCACTTTCAACGCCAGTCACTAAACCCGCTTGGGAATCACGGTGAACTGTGTCAGTCACTTTCATTTGCTCTATTGGCTGTAGTGTCCGCTAAACGTCTCTTCTTTCATAGAACTGACATACCGCTCGTGCAGTAATACTGGTCATGGGTTCTCTCTAGACGGGATTTCCTCTTATCCAGGCCGTTCTATTCATCAATCGGTCTAACTCACTCGCCTGACCAGCGTTGCCGCCATGGATTGCCTGATCACCCTGTCTTGTCGCGACGTTCCAACCATTTCTTCTTCAATACTGAAAGCAAAGTGTCGTGACGTTCCTCCGGGTATATCACAGCCAATCAGAGCATCTTCGTTGCTGCAACAGAATTCATTGCAACGAATAACTTTCACAACTCGCCGTCACGCGCTTCGTTCCACAGTTTCCGTCATTAGCCGACAACCAGCTCCATCCTCTAGCGTGGTTTCCGCAAGCAGGGGAGTTCGGGTTGCGAGTGCTACTAACGCGGATGGAGGGGAAACTACAGAAGCAGCAGCACGTGACGTGGCGGATGATCCTGCCACCGTGGCGGCTCAGATGGCATTGAGCGTCTCGGAAGAGGCGCTTCCGGACGGTGACGTGGACGAGGCGCGCGCCGCAGCGGCCGCTGCGTTGCTCGAGAGCGAGCTCCTCCAAAAACCGCCGGGAAACGCGGCGGAAAATGCCGCTGGGGAGTTGGGGAAGGGAGGAGCGGAAGCGAGCGGAATCGGAGCTGCAAGCGCTGCGTCTGCGGTTGCCGCTGAGCCGCAGGCGAACGTGACAGTAACGAAGGGGTCCAAACGGGGGATAACAGTGAAGGGGAGGAAAGTGAAAGTTGGAGGTAGAACAGGAGGGGGATCAGAGGGGGAAGGCGACGACAGCGGGAGTGAGAGTGACAGTGGTAGTGGCAGTGACAGTGGAGGAGAGGAGGTGTTCCATGTGGTGTGGTCGTCAAGAGACAGCAAGATAGACTATCTCGGGGAGAGCACTAAGGGGGATATGGTGCTCCCCGATCTCCCCGTCGACCTCGGTAAGTGAAGATGAAAGTAAGGAATCTCCGAATGTCGAAAGCAGAAGGGGGGAAACGTCTGCTGGTGTGGACATTGACACTTGAGTCGACTCAAAAGTAACTTCTGCTGGTGTGGACATTGACACGGATCGTGGGGACCATGTAGAAGACTTTTCAGTCGACTCAAAGGTCACCTCGAATGTCAAAAGCAGAAGGGGAGAAACTTTTGCTGGTGTGGACATTAACGCGAACGGGGGGGGGCAGCCGATAAAGGAGCTCGCCAAGGCGGAGGCCGGGCTGGGGCTGGAAGGGAGAAGAAGAAGGGGGGAAACTTCTGCTGGTGTGGACATTAACGCGAATGTGGGGGGGTGCAGCCCAAAGAGGAGCTCGCGATGACTTTTGAGTCGACTCACAAGTGACTTTTGACTTTCGAGTCTACTCAGCAGTCACCACGTTAATGATGATGGGACCTCATACCCGGTCTCCCTCCCTTTCCCCATTCTTCCCTTATTTTCCCCCCTCACAGAGAACGAGGGGCGGCGGGCTTTTGACCTGGACTTAGACGCGGATGTGGGGCCGATAGAGGAGCTCGCCAAGGCGGAGGCTGACGATGCCGTTTCTTCCCCCCAAACTTCCCCTTGTCTCTCCTCCCCCCGCCCCCCCGTCTCCCCTCCTCTCCCCAACCAGAGAACGAGGGACGGCGAGCGTTTGATCTGGACTTGGGTGCGGATGTGGGGCCGATAGAGGAGCTCGCCAAGGCAGAGGCCGATGAGGCAGAGATGCTGCTGGAGCAGCTGGGTGTGCCTGTGAGTCACTGTCACTGTGGGTCATTGTGACTGTAAGGAAGCGTGGTAGTGTGTGTGATGTGACTGTATGAGGAGCTTGCCAAGGCAGAGGCTGACGAGGCGGAGATGCTGCTGGAGCAGCTGGGGATGCCTGTGAGTGACTACTGCAAAGCCGTTATGAGTGTACGCAAGTGAGATGATCCTGTGGTGTGGTGTGGAAGGCGGAGGCGGACGAGGCAGAGATGCTGCTGGAGCAGCTGGGCGTGCCTGTGACTGTAAGGAAGCATGGTTGTTGTGAGCAGATGTTACGGTACCACGCGAAGAGAGGGTGTTTTTGTGAGCAGATGTTAAGGTACCGTTGTGTGGTGTGGAGCACAGAGGCTCACGTTCCAGAAATCGTCTTTCCTCTCATCCTTCCCTGCTTTCGCTTTCCGCTCCAGCTGTAGTTCCCTTCCCTCATGGCATATTCAGCAGACGCACTTTTGATTCGCAATCTCTTTGCAATCCCTATCCATCCATACACCCTGTCCCCATTTATGCTTATCCCATCCCATTTGAGGCGCCGCGCCTCTTTAAAAGCATGAATCTCAATTCCTATCCGTACAACCTCTCCCTGTCTCCGTCTATTCTTATCCCTGGCAGCCCCAGTTCCCGCATGGGCTGACATCCCGCGGCATCTTCTGCAGCCGCACTCTCAACCTGCAATTGCGCTCTCCTTCCTGCTCCCGTGTCTTCACACGTCCTTTCTTCCGTCCCCTCTCCCTTTCACCTCCCTCTGTTTTGCTCTCCAGCCCCAGTTCCCCCATGGGTTGGCGTCGCGCGGCATCTTCTGCAGCCGCACTCTCAACCTGCGTTCGATCACGACCATCGGATATGACATGGACTACACTCTGATTCACTATAACGTCAATGTAAGCTCGTTTATCGAGTATCAATCATATGACATGGACCACACTCTGATTCACTATAACGTCAATGTAAGCTCGTTTATCGAGTATCAATCATATGACACGGACTACACTCTGATTCATTATTAAGTCAACTTAAGTACCCCTGCTGCTGGATATCACATTGATTAACCGCTACGTCAAGGAAAATACCGTAAATATGACATTTACTACACCCTAATACATTAGAATATCAACCTATGCAAACCCCCCGTTTTCTCCCACCAGTAACCCAGACTACTTAAAGCAGTCCCTTTGCCTTTCTTCCGGACCTCTTTCCCCGTCCAGGCCTGGGAGGGCCGAGCCTACGATTACGCCATGGAAAACCTCCGAGCCAAGGGGTACCCGACCGAGGGGCTGAGGTTCGACCCGGACCTGGTGATCCGAGGGTTGGTGATGGACAAGGCGAGTGGCAACCTGGTGAAGTGCGATCGGTTTGGGTTCGTCAAGCGAGCCATGCACGGCACTGAGATGCTTTCGAATAAAGCCATCAGGTGAGTGAGTGAGTGAGTGAGTGAGTGAGTGAGTGAGGCACAGCACGCAGCTTGGATGGCAAGGCAAGTGTGGTTTGGGTTCGTGAAGCGAGCGATGCACGGGACTGAGATGCTTTCCAACAAGGCCATCAGGTGAGTCCTCAGATAGACAAGTAGGGCTGTCAGGTGAGGCACAGAGTTGTTTGTCAAGCAAGCCATGCATGGCACAGGAATGCTCTCTTCTCCAATAAGGCCATCAGGTGAGTGAATGAGGCACGCAGGTAGCTTAGCAGGCAAGTGTGGTTTGGGTTCGTCACGCGAGCCATGCACGGCACTGAGATGCTTTCGAACAAAGCCATCAGGTGAGTGACTGACGCACAGCACACAGCTTGGAAGGCAAGTGCGGTTTGGGTTCGTGAAGCGCGCCATGCACGGCACTGAAATGCTCTCCAACAAGGCCATCAGGTGAGTCCTCAGACAGACAGGCACGCAGGCCATCAGGTATGTCAGAGGACCAGGCCGATCAGATGAAGCGCGCCATGCACGGCACTGAAATGCTCTCCAACAAGGCCATCAGGTGAGTGGGTCGCTGGGAGTTCCTCAACACGCTCTTCAGTGTGAGCGAGGCCGTGCCGTGGTGTGCATGCAGATGGTTGACCGCTCTCTACCTCCTTTCCTCCTTCTGGGTTTCCCTTCTGTGCGTCGCTCCTCTGTTCTGTGCCCCAGCAAGCCGTATAGTCGCGAACTGGTAGACCTGAGGAATGAAGGCCGCTGGGAGTTTCTCAACACGCTCTTCAGTGTGAGCGAGGCCGTGCGGTGGTCTACATGCAGATGGTTGACCGTGTGGCCCTCCTTTGCTCCTCCACTTTCTTTCTGTGCTCCCCCCAGCAAGCTGTACGGTCGGGAGCTAGTGGGTCTGAGGAATGAAGGCCGCTGGGAGTTTCTCAACACGCTCTTCAGTGTGAGCGAGGCGGTGGTGTACATGCAGATGGTTCAATTGACCGCCTTGACCTCTTTTTTCCTCCTCCTTTTCCTGCTCTGTGTTTCCTTCCCGTCTCCACCCCTCTCAACAGCAAGCTGTACGGCCGCGAACTAGTGGACTTGCGGAATGAGGGAAGGTGGGAGTTCCTGAACACGTTATTCAGTGTGAGCGAGGCCGTGGTCTACATGCAGATGGTTGACCGCCTTGACCAGGGGCTGCTGCCTGCTGAGGTGGCACCGGGGGACTACAAGACCCTTTATAAGGTGACTCGTTATAGGTGCCTTGTCCTGCATATTAGGTATCTCTCCATAAGGTGGTCTACATGCAGATGGTTGACCGACTTGACCAGGGGCTGCTTCCAGCGGAAGTGGCTACTGCCGATTACAAGACTCTTTACAAGGTGACTTGTCATAGGGTGATTCGCTTTGAGGTCCTTTCTGTCGTTTTCCCGCTCGAATCTCTAGGAGGAGTCCCACTGTGTGAATTGGCGTGTCTACTTCACCAGCGAATTCCCTTTTCTGCTAGAATCGCTCGTTAGTTCCTCACTGAAATCCCTACTCTCGATCTGAAACCATATCTTCTTCCTCTCCTCCCTCTTCTCCACCGCTCTTCCCTTCAGGTGGTGGCAAGAGCTCTCTTCCGAGCCCACGTGGAGGGGCAGCTCAAGGTACGCAAAACTCAACTCTGAGTCCCTTCAAAAGTCACACGTCAAGTTTGAGTCGAATAGAAAACCAGGGCTGTGAGCGGACAACTTTTGAGACGTCCCCTGGGACGACTTTTGAGACGTCCCCTGAGACGACTTTTGAGACGTCCCCTGAGACGACTTTTGAGACGTCCCCTGAGACGACTTTTGAGACGTCCCCTGAGACGACTTTTGAGACGTCCCCTGAGACGACTTTTGAGACGTCCCCTGAGACGACTTTTGAGACGTCCCCTGAGACGACTTTTGAGACGTCCCCTGAGACGACTTTTGAGACGTCCCCTGAGACGACTTTTGAGACGTCCCCTGAGACGACTTTTGAGACGTCCCCTGAGACGACTTTTGAGACGTCCCCTGAGACGACTTTTGAGACGTCCCCTGAGACGACTTTTGAGACGTCTAATAAATCCAGGGCTGCAATGCGAGCGGACTCAAGCCGATGGCTTTGCCTCGTTGGCTCGGCTCGTCAGCTCCACTAGCTTGTCCCGGCTGCATGTACCTTCTGAGTCAACTCAAAAATCCCCTCACTGGCCCATTGAAACTTAAAACTGCTGTTGTTGAACCTGTTGCAGTCAATGCTGAACCCATGCCTTCCTATCCCCAACAGGCGAAAATTATCAAACTCCCCGGAGAAGTCCGTAGAGCAGCAACCGGAGGTGCCCCTGGCTCTGCTGGACCAGAACCACATCTGAACCCAACTGAACCCATCTGAACCCCATAAGTGCATGCTCGTGCCTCTGCCCCTGCCCCTCAGGCGGAAATTATCAACCCCCCGGAGAAGTTCGTAGAGCAGCAACTGGAGGTGCCCCTGGCTCTGCTGGACCAGAACCACATCTTAACCCATCTGAATATATCTCAATCCCATCCAAACCGACCCCTCCTCCCCCTCCCCTCCCCACCAGGCGGAGATCATCAACTCGCCAGAGAAGTTTGTGGAGCTGGACCACGTCTGAACCCATTCAAACCCATCTGAACCCACCTCTCCCACAGGCGGAGATCATCAACTCACCGGAGAAGTTTGTGGAGCTAGACCTTGATGATCTTTGGAGGTGCAAGCTGGACCCTACATTTCCCCCTCCACCTTGCACTTCCTTCCCTTCCCCCACCCACCCTCTGTTGGAGATCATCAACTCACCGGAGAAGTTTGTGGAGTTAGACCCGGAGCTGCCCCTGGCTCTCCTAGATCAGAAGCTAGCAGGGAAGCGGCTGCTGCTGATCACCAACTCGCAACTCCCATGCCTGCTTCCTTCTCACGCCTGTCTATCCTCGCGCTCTCCCCTGTCCCTCCTCCCCCTCTCCCCTCAGGCAGAGATCATCAACTCCCCGGAAACGTTTGTGGAGTTAGACCCTGAGCTGCCTCTCGCTCTCCTGGGCCAGAAGCTGGCGGGGAAGCGGCTGCTGCTGATCACCAACTCCCACGCCTGCCCCCCTCTACCCCCTGTGTTCCTGTCCATCCGTTCTCCACTCCTCCACAGGCTGAAATCATCAACTCACCGGAGAAGTTTGTGGAGTTAGATCCGGAACTTCCCTTGGCCCTGCTGGACCAAAAGCTGGCAGGGAAGCGGCTGCTGCTCATCACCAACTCGCATTCCCTCCCGCCCCCTCTCACCCTTGGCCCCATCTCCCCACTGCCCATGCTCCCTTCCCCCCACAGGCGGAGATTATTAACTCGCCTGAGAAGTTTGTGGAGCTGGACCGGGAGCTGCCACTCGCTCTCTTGGACCAGAAGCTGGCGGGGAAGCGGCTGCTGCTCATCACCAACTCGGACTATCAGTACACGCACCGCATGATGACGCACGCTTTTGACCGGTTCCTGCCTGAGGAGATGACGTGGCGCTCATTGTTTGACATGGTAAGTGGCTACCCTTCCTTGTTAAACAAACATATTTATCCTCACATGAAAGCGGCTGCTGCTGATGACCAAGTCGGACTATCAGTACACCCATCGCATGGTGACCCACGCCTTCGGCCAGTTCCTGCCTGTAGAGATAGTGTCGGCTCGCAAGCCCGAGTTTCTCTCCATGGCACACCTGCTGTACTAGATCGTGACCCGGTGACACCCGACAATGACTGACTCTCCTCCTGTCAACGCCTCATGCCCATTCCGCTTCTCCCCTGTCATCTCCCCACGCCTTTTCCAGGTGATAGTGTCGGCTCGCAAGCCCGAATTCTTCTCCATGGTTCACCCGCTGTATGAGATCATGCCACACCAGGCAATCACTGACCTACCTCACGCCCATCCCTCATTCCCATCCCCCATCCCCCCCCACCCCTCCCAGGTGATCGTGTCGGCTCGCAAGCCCGAGTTCTTCTCCATGGCTCACCCGCTGTACGAGATCGTGACACCCGACGGACTCATGCGACCGTGCTTCAAGGCCAATTCCGGTACGTGATTGCGTGCTTTACGGTTAGTAGGAAGTTATGAACCTTGTACCTCTTGTTGGATTCTGCGCTGCTCTTCCTAGCACCCATGCAACTCTACTCGATCCAACAGCTCCTGTGGCACCGGCTGCCTCCCGCTCCAATGTGGCTCGATCTGAGCCGTACGCACCAGAGTGTTTCACTTGTTCTGACGTGTGCAAAGAGTTTTTAAGAGAATGATATGAAAAAAGGCAATGACGCATATGAAAGGGAGTAAAACGACACAAGTGTGAAGATGAGCTTGTCCAATGAGCTCCGAGGAAGTTGGAACTCATATGTGCAGACACTTTTTCACATTACCACCCCCTGCACATACGAGTTTCATTTTCCCCTGAGCTCATTAGACTATCTCATTCTCACACTTGTGTCAGTTTACTCCATTTTATGTGCATCATCTCCCTTTTCCATATCACCGTCTCAAAAATCATTTGCGCACGTTAAAACAAGTGGAACGTTCTGGTGCGTACGGCTCAGATCGAGTTACATCGGCGCAGGAGGGAGTTGGTGCCACAGGGGCTGTTGGATCGAGTGGAGCAGCGGGAAGGGCATCGCAGAATCTCCCACGATCTGCTTTCATTCTCCTTTTTCGTTTTCCTTGTTGATTCTTCCCTTCTCAGGAGGCTTGTACTGTGGGGGAAGTGCGCAGATGGTCGAGAAGGCCCTGGGTTTCGCAGGAGATGAGACGCTGTACGTGGGAGACCACATCTACACGGACGTGTCGCAGTCCAAGCTGCACCTGCGCTGGCGCACGTGCCTCGTGTGCCGGGAGCTGGAGCAAGAGGTATGTCTCTGGGGTTCACAGGGGTTCACAGGGGTTCACAGGGGTTCACAGAGTGACCACATCTACACGGATGTCTCCCAGTCCATGCTGCACCTGCGCTGGCGCATGTGCCTCGTGTGCCGCGAGCTTGAACAAGAGGTGTGTGTGGGCTCGTTTGTGTGTCTCTGGGATTGACACGGGCTCACTGGGGTTCACAGGGGTTCACTGGGGTTCACAGAAGTTCACTGGGGTTCACAGAGGTTCACAGGGGTTCACAGAAGTTCAGACGGGTTCACAGTAGTTCACAGGGGTTCACAGGAGTTCACACGGATTCACAGGGGTTCACAGGGGTTCACAGGAAGTCACAGAAGTTCACAGGTGGTCACAGAAGTTCACAGATCTTCACAGGAGTTCACAGGCGGGGATGAGACGAGACGACGTACGTGGGAGACTGCTTCAACCAGCTGAGGCTGGCCCTGCAGAGGCTAGCGGTGGGGACGCACTTGACTTCGTGCCCTCTCGTCCCTTTCTGTACCCTCTTTCCCAGGTGGAGGCGCTGATTCAAGGGCACGACACGAGGCTTAGGCTCATAGATCTGATGCCTCAGAAAGACATAGTCGGGGACTGTTTCAACCAGCTGAGGCTGGCTCTGCAGAGACTCTTGTGGGGGGTTCGCACTTAGGAATATGTTACCCCCCCTACCTCTTTCCCAGGTTGAGGCCCTGATCCAGGGCCATGATACCAGGCTGAGACTCATTGATCTGATGGCTCAGAAGGACCGCGTGGGAGACTGCTTCAACCAGTTGAGGCTGGCTCTGCAGAGAGCTGTTGGGATGTTGCCACTTTAGCGTATACCAACCCAACTCATCCCTTTCTTGACCACTTCTGCAGGTTGAGGCCCTGATCCAAGGCCATGATACGAGGCTGAGACTCATAGATCTGATGGCTCAGAAAGACCGAGTCGGGGACTGCTTCAACCAGCTGCGGCTGGCCCTGCAGAGGCTCTGTGTTCTAACAGGGGGCAATGCTAATGTTTACATTAACCCCTCCTTCCTCGCAGGTTGAAGCCCTGATTCACGGGCACGACACGAGGCTGAGACTCATAGATTTGATGGCTCAGAAAGACAGGGTGGGAGACTGTTTTAACCAGCTGAGGCTCGCCCTGCAGAGGCGCACGCAGGGGCAGGCGGCACAGACGGCAGCGGTGGGGGAGATGGAGGATGGGGAGCTGGTGAGGAGCATGCAGCGGCTGCTGTGGATCATGGCGCGGCTCGACGGGGAGATTGCTCCCTTGCTGGAGACTGATGGGGCTGCTTTTAACGACCGGTATGTGTGCTGCTGGGTTCGGTGCGGTGTAGGGGTTTAAGGTGTGTCACAATCAGGAGCTGGTGAGGAGCATGCAGCGGCTGCTGTGGATCATGGCGCGGCTTGATGGGGAGATTGCTCCCTTGCTTGAGACCGACGGGGCGGCTTTTAATGACAGGTGGGTGTGCTGCTGGGTTCAGTGCGGTGCAGAGGTGTTGATTCTACTCTCTTGGGGTCTAGGTGTCACTCTCCCCTGGTATGGTGAGGAGCATGCAGCGGCTGCTGTGGATAATGGCGAGGCTTGACGGGGAGATTGCTCCCTTGCTTGAGACGAACGTTATAAGACATCTCATTGTATGCCCTCACTTTCCTTCATATGGCAACCTTTCTGTCTGTGTGTGGCCAGATGGGGATACCTCTCTCGAGCTGGACTTTGGGATAAGAGCCACATTACCCGGCAAATAGAGAAGTGAGTTGGTAGATTATCCTGCAAGATACTAAAACTGCATCACTTCCATTCTGTTTTTGTAAGTACTTCATACTCATGTTGCTTCCTTTCCTTTTACTGCTTTATGCTCTTTTGTAATTCCTATTTGTGTTCTTTTCCTGCGCCAGATATGCTGACATCTACACCTCAAGAGTTTCCAACTTCTTGCGCTACACCCCGTTCATGTACTTCCGAGCACAGGGGCAGGTACTAGTGTTGACCCTTAATCAGCTTGCTATTGCATCCCAGTCTTTGTTCTATTTTTTCCACACACTTGCATCCCATCATCCTGGTGGAGGATTTTTTATTATTAACTAATAAGTATTTTTCCGTTTTCTGTTCGTTTGGTTCATGCAGTCTTGCGCACATGATGTTTCAGACACATGGCCTATGATCAGCCTGCAGCCGTTCCCATCTTCCGAAGATGATTTGCAAGTAACACAAACAGAATTGCTGTAACGTGAGGTTTGATGTTGGGGTGGTGGTGGTGGTGTACAATGGCGTTAAGAGTGGAACAGCGGTAAGATTGTGACGAGGAGGAGATGGGTACAAGTATGCAAACCTAGAAAATGTTGTACCCTATATGATGCAACCAGCGCTCTTGTTTTCAGACCAATTTGGTCTGTTCGTCTAGATTTTAAACTCATTTTTCTTTGGGCAGACCGAAACCCCGGATGAAAGACCCAGGCCAGGGGGGTATGCTTACACACGAAGTTATTTACAACTAATGAGTCATAAGGCTCAGTTCCAAAAGAACATAAAACTCTCTGACAACACATGAAAAAAGACAACCCAAGCATTTTTTCCCGTGTACGAGACATATATGTCTTATATCCGGGCGATGACGATAATGAGTCATAAGGCTCAGTTCCAAAAGAACAAAAAACTCCCTGACAACACATGAAAGAAGAGCAGACACTGAGGGTGAAATGAAGCTCCCTGTCTATGACCCTATTCTAACACTCCCTCTATGAGCCCTGCTCTTCGGAGTGGGGGGTTGAATAACCAGATGTCTTCAACGCCTGAATTTCCGTTCAATAGCTTCTATAGCTTTGCCCTCGCAGATGAGCCCATCATGGCAGGATGCGAGGCCCAGACTCTCCCTTAAATACCCTATGTGGCGTGAGAACGTTGACCGTTGGGTGGTCATTGTAACCATGGCATGCGCTGCCACTAGCTTATCCACCATTGATAGCTGACCTGGTTGAAGATTCAGCTCCTTAGGCAATCTGACAACCACAATCGACCATGCGTACCCCCTCGCCCTAGCAATAGATCCTTGCGACCTTAACTGCTCCTTAAGAACTTCCAGTTCCTCATCAGAAGCATCAGAGGATACAAAAAGGTTGGTCACGTTCAACTGCACCATTTTCGACGCAGTACACTCCGCCACAGCCTGTAACGGCCAGTACTGTAGACCCACCTGGCGGCTATAGTCAAGAAAATCCGTCCGCCGAAGGTGTATAGAAGCATAATTCACCCCGAGGTACTCCTTTATGAACGCTGAAGCTTGGTTAAGCACATGCTGGGGAGGCCGGAAAAGCAGCTCACACGAGGTGTTAAAAAATCGACTAGGCCAGAAGAATGTAGAATCAATAGGATCAGTATCCTTGAAGAATGAGTAGAAAAGGTCACCAAGAGAAAGCACAGGAACGTTGGCAGTTGCAGCTGCGATCTTAGGAGCCAGGTCAAAGAGATTTTTACCCTTCTCCTCCGTGACGATCTCTTTCTCTGAGAGCTTTATTTCTTTCGCCTCGCCGCAGCTGCTATCTATAAAGTGACAGCTGCTCTTCACCTGGCCGCAGAGGACTTTATCAACTACTAATTCGCCTCCATTACCGCCTTTTGTTTTCAGAAAATCTGATCCTGTTATCACCTTGCGGAGAGGCTGTGCTCCGTTTCCCGGACTTGGCTGCTCTCCGAAGCACCGGGACAAGTAGCCAATGTCCAGAATTTCAGAATACACCACCGGCCGGCCAGAGGCGGGGACACAGAGAGGAACATCGGGAACAAGCAGAGTGCGGTTAAGGAGAATCGCTGCCAGAATGGTCTTCTGAAAGCATAAGAGGCGATTCGTGCTTCTGCCGTTGGTGCATGAAAGCATAAGGTACCGGTTGGGTAGTGGAATCCATTCCGGTGCTGCAGTAAGAGATTCGGATGGGGATGATGATGAAAAGGGGAGTCGGACGCCAATGGGAGCGGTACACGTGTCATTTAAGAGTTGCTCACTTGGGGATGAATTTAGTAATCTCGGACTGACGGTTTGCTGCAGCTCAATCAATGTGCTTGTATCGAGACTGGAAGCATCCGCTTGAGAAAAATCCGGTGACTGGGAATGCTCGGAACGACCAGCCGGCTGAGGAGCTAAAGCGGCAGAACGAGGGGAGTAGGCTGCGAGGTACCCGAGTATGAACGTAACCGCGGCGACGAGGACGAGGTGGTAGGGAAGCTGGTGAAGCTGGGTGAGCACAGACCTTTGCTGCTGGTGCTGGTGCTGCTGCTGCTGCGGTACGCCATCATGGTGTAATGGGAGAGATGCAGACGAAGACGTCATTGCGATGAATCCCACTGAACAACTACGTCTTTACTAGAAATCACAAGCAGCAACTACATGAGAACGCTATTTTACAAACACTGATGTTGGGAGTTATGAACCCTAGTAAAAACAATTTCATCTGCCTGGTCGCGAAGATCCAGAGTTGCAGTCCAAACAAGCAAAACGCTTTGAAACGCACAGCATCGTCTTCCACCGCGTATACTGAACCGCATCCCAAAATTGCGTTCGAGGGACTTCGTGTACCTAGTCACGCAGGCACTGACTCCCAAATTCGGGACAATCGGGTGGTAACCAGCTGTTCGAACTCCCACATTTTGACGGTTGAGTTCGGTACAGTACGTTTAAGCAAACAATCAGTCTGGGTTTAGTACGGTGCTCGTTCAAACACGCCCTGGTTCCCCTGTTCATACTGGATTCTGCCTAGATCTCTCCAGCGACCCTCCGCACTTTCTGGCATCCAGCCTCCTCTCTCCCCAGACCAGCAGGCTCGGCAATTTCAAGGAGGCATAGCAACGGCTACGCTGGATCCCATTCTCGCCAGGGTCCCCATCCAAGCCATAGATCCTGAAGCTTTCACACTACACAGGACATTGCCGTCAGTAGTAATGCTAGTCACTGGCAGGTGGTGATTAGTGGCATTGTCGCGAGCCAGGAGGGAGGAGTTTATGAATCTCACGTTGGATTAATTGGTTTGTCCTCTCGTCGAAGCCTGGTGGTAATTTGATTCGTAGTGTATTTAGGGGAATGCATGTCACCGACCTGGCACGATTGGAAAAGGAATAGAGGGAGACGACGCGAGTATGTCGCAAAACAACGAGAGTATTGTGCTTGCTTCGCTAGCTTTTTTTTGCGTTTAATCAATAATCTGCCGTAAGGCCAGCGACGGACAGGGTTACCGTAAACGAATGTTATTTGGTTGCCTGAAGCTATCCTCAATCGGACCTCTAGAATATAAAGGAGAGTGGGAGCTCGCCGGCTGACTGGTTTCCGACCGACTGGTTTCGCCGACTGGCTCCTGGCTGACGAATAGCCGGCTGGCTTCGTTTCGTGCTGACTGGTGGCCCTTTCATTCGTTTTTTTGTTGACTGGTGGCCGGCAAGATGAGGGGAGGCAAGTTCGAGCAGAAGGTGGTGGTGGCAGCACACGGAACTCGGAATTGCTTTTCGAGACGCGTTCTATCGCGGATATCGTGGCGATCGAGGCGCGCACGAGGAAGGAGGCGGAGGAGAAGAAGTAGGAGCTTCGACAGTTGGTCGGCACGAGTTATCGCCACCTCATCGAATCCGCGGACTCGATCCTCGACATGCGGAGGAACGCTGGAAACTTGGGCTGAATGTATATCGGCTCAAAAGTCTAAATAAAGGAAAAGGAGCAAGGGGAGGAAAGAGGGGGGAACGGGAGAAGGAGGATTTGCGATGTTTGAATCGTGAAACGGAGCCTTTTGCTCATATAGGGAAGAGAAAGAGGAGAGGAGCTGCGACAGCTGGTCGGCGCGAGCTACCGCCACCTCATCAAATCCGCAGATTCGATCCTCGACCTGCGGAGGTACACGCGGGGACCAAACATATCTGTGAGATGGTATGTCTGCGAGCTTGATCCTGGTCATGCGTCGGCAAGTAAGAGGCATATCGAGTTCCCCAAATGTTCGCTCCCAAAAGTTTCTGTCTCTGGTTCTCGTGTGATTTCATGTGGGTATACATGTTCACATGTGCACAGGTTGTGCGACGTGATGATGCGCTTTGTGGCAGCTTTAGAGTTCTCTTTGCTTTTGAGTCGACTCAAAAGTTCACATGTGCACAGGTTGTGCGAGGTGATGGTGCGCATTGTGGCAGCCATAGAGTCGGGCTTCTCTTTGCTGCACCTACTACTGCAGAGTCCCTTGTGTTTTTGTGCGGCAAACACATGTTCAATCATACCTTTTCATATCCATCTGATTTGCGCAGGTCATGTGAATCAGTGGTGCGCAACGTTGCAGCTATGGAATCAGATTTTGCTCTGCTGCACAAAACCATCTCCACCACCGCCACCACCACCCCTGCTGCTGATGCCAAGCGCAAGGTTCAGGTTCTGGGTGCCTACGAGTCTGTTGCAAGCGCTAAACGTGCATCAGAGAAGGGAGTGCTGCAGCTGCTCTTCGATGCTCGCCTGCTGTCAGACGTGCTATCAGGAGGGGCGGAGCTACCTCTGGAAGCACTCACCCCTCCTCCCTGCCTCCTCTTCTCCCCCCCCCCCCTTCTCTTACAGGTTTTGGCAGCCTACAAAGCCGTTGCCTCTGCTCGGCGCGCATCAGAGAAGGGAGTGCTGCAGCTGCTCTTCGATGCGCGTCTGGCTGTCACACATGCTCTCGGCGCCAGCTTCTGATTCCGAGTTGCACACTCCCTTCCTCCTGCCCTTCTTCCCAGGTCCTATTCGCCTATGAGAAGCTTGCCAGTGCTCGCCGTGCATCCTAGAAGAGGGAGTGCAGCAGCTGCTCTTTGATGCGCGCCTGCTGTCAGACGTGCTCTCAGAAGGGGCGGAGCTACCTCTTGAAGCACTCTGAGCGGGAGCAGGGGCAGGGGCAGGAGCAGGGGCAGGGAGCATTGGTGTGTCGGTTGTGATATGGAAGAAACGAGTGGCAGCACTGCTGGAGAGGCTGCAGGAGGAACTGGATCCGATTGACAGAGCAGCGTGAGTGTGGTTATTCCTTATTCCCATACCACGTAGTGAGAGAACTTGCCGTGCAGGCTGGCAAAAGCGAGTGACAGCGCTGCTGGAGAAGCTGCAGGAGGAACTGGACGCGATTGATAGAGCCGCGTGAGTTGCAATGATAAAACAGCAGCATACCCCATGCCTCATGCTTCCTTGTTGGAAGAAGCGAGTGGCAGCGCTGCTGGAGAAGCTGCAGGAGGAACTGGACCTCATCGACAGAGCCGCGTGAGTTGTCTGATGAATGCAGGTGAGGAGCAGCGCTTCTACCTGCCCTCAGCAGTGCTCCTCGGCCATCTAGCCCAGCTGCATCGCCTCTACACCGATGCTGCACTCTGCCTCTCTCTCCTTCTACTCTTCCCGTCTCAATCTAACATCACCTCTCTCCCATTTTAACCCCATTCGACTCAACCCCTCTTCCCTCTCCCTCCTCCCACTCTCCATTCACCCTACCGCTCCCTTCCTTCAGCTATCTCCCCTTTTTATGGCAGAACCAGCAGCATTTCTACCTTCGCTCAGCAGTGCTCTTCGGCCATCTAGCCTAGCTGCATCGCCTCTACACCGATGCTGCCCCGCGCCATCCCTACGCCACAGATGCAAACACTCTCGAAACCGCTCCCACCGTCCCCCGCTTCACCTTCCTGCCGATAAGGTTAAGTGTGGTGTGCTCTTTCTAAGGTAACTCCTATCATTACCAGCTCTGCCCCGCGCCATCCCTGCGCCACAGACGCCAACACCCTCGATACCGCTCCCACTGTCCCGCGCTTCACCTTCCTGCCCATCAGGTAACTTATATCTTCCCTATATGGTGGTTTTCATCCTCCCTATAAGGTAACTCACATCCACCCTATGAGGAAACTGTCCATTCAGAGCTCTTTAACCCTCTGACCCAGCCAGCATCACCAGCTGACTGATTCTGCATCCACCCTTTCTGTCTCTTTCTCCCTTCCCCACCCCATCCCTTCCCCCTCTTCCTCCCCCCCTCTTTTTTTTCACTTCTCCCCCCTATCCCCCCACTTCAACCAGCTCTCCTCTTCTAGCCAATGGTGGGCTGGCACCTGGCGGCAAACCCCGCCGTCCATCCACTTTGGACATGTCTCGCTATCCGATTCTGGTTCCAGCAGCAACAGTGGTGCTCCAGTTTCCCGAGTGCCTAGTGGGTCAGGGGCTGGGGCAACTGCAGCAGCAGCAGGTGGTGGTGGGTTCGGAGGGGTGGGAACCGGTGCGCGGGGAGAAGACGGGACTCTTGGAGGAGCGTTCTCGTTTGCAGATTCCACGAGGCTCTCTGCTACACCCATTTTCAAGTCGCTTATGGGTCAGGTAACTAACCACTGCACTTTCTCCCCAGGTTACTTTAAAAATAGCCTCAAAACTCTCCGCCACTCCGTTTTTCAAGTCGCTTAAGTCAGATAATTCCTGCAAGCTGGTCATCACCTCTGGGAGGAAGGTTTTGTACATGTCTCTTTGCTCCATGCAGTCTGTGTGTGTTTTGTTCTACGGTACTGTACCTGCCCCCCACTAGTTTCGCATTTCTCTCCAAATTAATAACTCAACCCTGATACTCCTGGCCAAATGCAGGTCAAGCTGGGGTTGATGCTCGGAGACAGCAGTCAAGTCACACGCAACATCTCAATTTTACAAGTAATGTTCAACCAGCCATCGCAGGCAGCTGGGTTGTTCTTGTCGCTTACAAGTGCTGCCGCTGGCAGCTCCTCTCGCCTGCAAGAGTTGTTTTGAATATCAGAACGGTAGGTACCAGACTCACTGTAGTATCGAAGAGCCGTTATCTATTTCTTAACCAGCCAGCGCAGGCAGCTGGACTGTTCTCATCAATGAGTGCTGCCGCTGGCAGCTCCTCTCACCTGCAAGAGTTGTTTCGAATACCAGAGGGACACGATCTGAATGCACCATAATCACACACGCACTGGTATCCTCATAGGGTTGATGTTCTTTATGATAGAATGGAAGGACTCTTTGATTATCAGATTTGAGAGCAGTTGTACTATATGATTTTTACCACTTACTGAGCAGCGAACCACAATGTGGAAGCTTTTGTCAATTGGGATATACGGAAAGGGAGTTGCGAAAGAAGATAGCACAGTTCGACACACGCGTTTCCGCGTAGTGAGTCGTCCCCAGCTTTCGAGCGGCAATCCAGCCATCAGGATATTCGAAAGGTCTCCGCGCCACCTCAGCTCTATCCCTTTTCGAACATGACGTGGGAACCTGCTGGCAGAGATGGCGAACCCCAGACCCCAGCTGTTTTTAAAACGCCTCGACGAACAGAATTTTCTGGCTAGGTGTTCATTGCGCTAATTTTCACGCCTGCCCGTGTCTTATGTGGCGGTGCGTTGCGAACACCAGCCACCACAAAGGTCAGCCTGAAGAAACGAGATGCTTGTAGACGTGGCAATTTTTAATTTTGTCGCAGCCACTCATCCACCCATGGATATGGTCGGATGAGGGTGACCGTTTGCCACGCGGCAAGGCACCGTCAAGCAACCTCAGCAGCAATGGTCTCACTCTTGCCCGCTCTTGGTGGCTGCTGACGGGGCTCCATCACGAGTGCCACAAGCGTTTTCTCAGCCATTCAGAACAGTCCACCTGCCGGATTCCGTCTATCGCCGTCAGCTCAGTCAGGCTTCTCCGTCAGCCTAGGAGAAATCTCGAAGACAGCTGCTTGTGCATCCTCCAATTCCTAGGGATCTCCGCCAGCAACAAAAGGGAAGCAATACCATGGAATTACTAACTGCTCTCAGGACAACTGATACTCTAGTCTAACGAGATCAGAACGCAGCTGATCTCTTGTCCTGTCGCTTAGACCGTCCTATTCGCTTTCTCTGATCTCTCAGAACTCCGCAACCATGGAGGCTGTGAGGTGCAATATCGCCCAGGCTGCTTCAGTGGCTCCCGCCCTCCGTGGCGCGGAGACCAAGGCTTCCTTGTCCTCGGTTAAGGCTCCTCTCGGCCTGTACTCTGGCCTGAGGAAGACCTCCTCGGCCAAGGCTTCCAAGAAGAGCCGTGCTGCAGTGAAGGCTCAGATTGCTAAGGTCACGGCCACTGCTGCTGTCGAGGTTGCTGCTAAGACTGATGCCGCTCTCCTTGAGAAGGTACCTAAGACGGCACTTCTGACAAGCAATTTCTCTGACATTCTTCCTTTCCACCATTGCTGTCATTATGTCGTTAGTTTGCCTGTCGTCTGTTTATTTGCCATTCATTTCCCCTTCTAATTATCCTGTCAATCAAACTTTGTCTCGCGTGCAGGCCATCAACTCTATCAGGTTCCTCGCCATCGATGCCGTCGAGAAGGCGAATTCCGGTCACCCTGGTCTTCCCATGGGCTGTGCTCCCATGGCTTTCGTGCTCTTCGATGAGTTCATGAAGTTCAACCCCAAGGACCCCTACTTCGTCAACCGCGATCGCTTTGTGCTGTCTGCCGGCCACGGTTGCATGCTTCAATATGCTCTGCTCCACCTTTTCGGATACGACAGCGTTCCGGTAAGATTTTGCCGTAATGCAGATACTGTTTTTCATGCTACAATGGAGTTTCGGCTTTTTTTCTCATTTATTATAAGTTCAGAGGTCTTGATACTAAGGAGTTAATGCAATTTCTTCATCTGACACTGGTGTTTGTTCTAAAATGCAGATTGAGGAGCTTAAGCAATTCCGTCAGTGGGGAAGCAAGGCCCCTGGCCACCCCGAGCACTTCATCACCCCCGGTGTTGAGGTCACCACGGGTCCCCTTGGCCAAGGTATTGCTAACGCTGTCGGTCTGGCTCTTGCGGAGAAGCACCTTGCTGCCCGCTTCAACAAGCCTGGGTTCGACCTCATCGACCACTACACGTGAGTCCGTGAACCAGTTGTCTTACCCCTTCTGTTTCGATAATTGTCAACGCGCTGAACATTTCAATCGCATTTTTTGTGCAGCTATGTTATTCTCGGTGACGGTTGCAACATGGAGGGTATCTCCACCGAGGCTGCTTCCCTCGCCGGTCACTGGGGTCTCGGCAAGCTCATCGCTCTGTACGACGACAACCATATCTCCATTGATGGCAACACCGATATTGCATTCACGGAGGACGTGAGCGCGCGTTTCGACGCCCTCGGCTGGCACACAATCTGGGTGAAGGACGGCAACACCGACCTGGACGCCCTTCGCGCCGCCATCGAGGAGGCCAAGTCCGTCACGGACAAGCCCACCATGATCAAGGTAATATCATTAACCGCAATGACATTCAAGTCAAAGATAATAAACGGATAACGTTGATAACTCGATGCATTTGTCGAAACTGAACGGTAGAGTCAAGTGCCGTTTGTTCTTTGCGATGATGTTTCTACTTGTTCTAACTATCTGCTCGTGCCATATTCCTTTCCAGATCACCACCACCATCGGCTACGGTTCACCCAACAAGGCCAACTCGTACGCCGTGCACGGTGCTGCTCTCGGTGCCAGCGAGGTCACCGCAACCAGGGAGAACCTCAACTGGCCGTATGCGCCATTCGAAGTCCCTGCTGAGGTCTACGAGTACGTATCTTAATCGGATTTTAAATTATTGTTACTTCGAAGGTGTGTGTTGGGCTTGACGTTGTTATCTCTCGCTCATTTATTTCTGTTCGTATGTGTAACAGGCACACGCACAAGAAGATTGAGGAGGGTGCCAAGCTCGAGGCTGACTGGAACGCACTTCTGGCTAAGTACGAGAAGGAGTACCCCACGGAGGCCGCCCAGTTCAAGCAGCTCATCAGCCTCGAGCTCCCAGAGGGCTGGGAGAAGGCTCTTCCGGTATGTATGACGCTTTTTAATGAATTGTGGCGCCTCTGAAATATGGATTTTTATCCGATGTAAAATTGTGCAAATTGTTTTGGTTCTCACATTTCCGCTACGTTTCGTTTTATATATTACTCTCTATTGTGGCAGACCTACACCCCTGACATGCCTGGGGATGCTACCCGTAACTTGTCCCAAGTGATGCTGAACGCCCTGGCCGACGTCCTCCCTGGCCTTGTTGGTGGCTCCGCCGATCTGGCCTCCTCCAACATGACCCTGCTCAAGAAGCACGGCAACTTCCAGAAGGACACCCCTGCTGAGAGGAACATCCGCTTCGGTGTGCGCGAGCACGCCATGGGAGCCATCGCCAACGGTATCCAGCTGCACCACACCGGCCTCATTCCCTACGTCGCCACCTTCTTCATCTTCTCCGACTACATGCGCAATGCCATCCGCATCTCCGCGCTCGGCGAGACTGGTGTCATCCAGGTCATGACCCACGACTCCATTGGTCTTGGAGAGGACGGCCCCACTCACCAGGTAAGCTTGAACTGCATATGTTTGAACGCACGCGCAACAAGCATTTCGTTTTTGAGACGATGGTTTTGGCATGTTGAGCATTTCGAACTTGAAATGTTTACTATTACCTGTCCAGAGCTGGAAAATGGAAATTGGATGCTGTCAGTTATCTATAACATGTTGGAGCATGAGTTAATCAACTACAAACCTCCATCCCCGTGCAGCCTATTGAGCACCTGGCGTCCTTCCGCGCCATGCCCAACCTTCTGATGATGAGGCCTGCTGACGGCAACGAGACTGCGGGAGCGTACAAGGTGGCCGTGCAGAACAGGAAGAGGCCGACTGTGCTCGCTCTCTCCCGCCAAAAGCTGCCCAACCTTCCCGGCACCTCCATTGAGGGCACAGAGAAGGGTGGATACACCATCAGGTAAACTCCTGTCATATCTTGGATAGTGATTGTGTGTGAATCTGTACTTTGTACCCTTCCCCTTGTGCTGCCTTCCATTTTACTTTTATGTGTGCTTGTCAGCATTTCTTGTCTCAACCTGCCTTTTTCCTGTGTCTTTCCGTCCCTACCCTATGTTTTTTTGCAGCGACAACTCATCTGGCAAGCCTGATGTGATCCTCCTGGCCACCGGCTCTGAGCTCGAGATGGCGGAGAAGGCTGCCAAGATCCTCAGGGACGAGGGCAAGGGTGTGCGAGTTGTCTCCATGGTCTGCTGGGAGCTCTTCGAGGAGCAGCCAGAGGAGTACAAGAAGTCTGTTCTCCCTGATGATGTGCGTGCTCGTGTCTCCGTTGAGGCTGGCTCCACCCTCGGCTGGCACAAGTATGTGGGTGACAAGGGCAAGGCCATCGGTGTTGACGAGTTCGGTGCCTCTGCCCCGGCCAATATCCTGTACGAGAAGTATGGCATCACTGTTGATGCTGTTGTAGCTGCCGCCAAGGCCTCCATGGCCTAGACAGCTGATTCGTTTGGCCTAGGATCTGAGTACTTTTTCTATGTTGGGCTTTCTTGCTTTGCTTGGACTCTATTAATACCAAATACTGCAAATACTATGGTTTCTCCAGTAACAGTCACGCCAGTTTTTGAAAACATTTAAGGTCAAGATGGCATTATTTTTAATTATATGTGTTTGGGCTTACACTGTAATGAGCACACCAATCGCCCCAACTACCGTAATAGATGCAAATACCGTATGAACAGTCCCTGGGATGTTACTACTAAAAGAATTGTCAACTCCCGAGTACCTCTGTGTTTATAGCCCTTCAAGAAGTGTTGCACGTTTTAGCTATTGTAGATATTGCTGAAAATTGTTTGTCACATGCAGGATGATCAAATGCTCCTCACCCAAGATCATTCAACACACAGCCTTCGTTACTGCACAGTTGACCAGACTTATACACTCACCAATGTTGCAGGTACGCTATACGTTTGAACAAGTTGATTGACCAGCTACGGTACAATGTTGGTACATGGAGCATCATCTACATTCCTACGGTACCTGCTTATCACTAAAAAACCTTAACGGTTTGTGTGCTGGAGCAACCAGCCCACTGAATAACTCAGGCCTCGTGTATAGATTCTGTCGTATGGCAGACTAGGCTTGGAAGAAATTAGTGCTGCGGCTAGCAGTACACATCCCCATGGCAACGTGCATGGACGCTGCTGCCCTAAACCACAGCTGCTAAGGAGGACGGGTCAGATGGAAGGAGATGAACGAGAGGACTCCTCAAGCCTGGACAGTCATTTGACTGTCAAGACATTTGAGTTAAGATTCCGAATGGGAAAATGAAGGCGATGCGGGTAAGCGATTATGAAGAGAGCGAAAATAGTGTCGGCTGTCAAGCTATTGCAGCGTGGGCGTTAACTCGAGGCTGCATAGGAGACGGTCGGGAAAGCGAAAGTGGCACTTTTACACCCAATCGCGCTGCCACGTCTGCAAACGAGCTGACGTCCTTTTTCCACAGCAGCGCGCCGCCGCAGCCAGCTGCCTTTGCTCCGCCAATGTCGTTCTTCCAGCTGTCGCCCACGTGGACAACTTCGTCCGGCCGGACATCGAGCATGTCGCACGCTGCATGGAAAATTTCACCACAAGGCTTCTCTGCCCGAACTTCTGCTGAAACCGCGACTGCGTCGAAACAGTTCAAGCAGCCCAGCGATTGGAGAACGGACCGAAGCCGCGAGTCGAAGTTCGAAACCACAGCGACTTTGATTCCCGCCCGGCGAATAGCGGCGAAGGCTTCGTGCGCGTGGGGATCGGACAATCGCCACGCGGATTGTGTCGCGTAGTAACCGTGTAACTCCTCCGCGTAACTGGGATTGGAACAACCAGTTGACTCCGATATGATGTGATGCCAGAACGGCAAAGCCTCTCCTTCGTATCGAAGCGCCCCGCGCCACGGTTTACTATACGCCATTCGATACCGGCGCAAAATCTCTTCCGCTGATAACGAGACGCCGTAGTTTTGACCCAGGGTTTCGTACACCTTATGCTCCGGTTCCGATGTTTCGATAAGAGTCCCCATCGCGTCGACGAGCAGCGCACGCGGCTGAAAAAACTTCGGCTTACGCTGACAGAGCCATTCTTTGGGCCACTGCGGCTGGTGCTGTCCCTCGGGCAAAGCAGCGCCTTGCGGCTTCTGCAGCGGCTGCGGATCCGCCTGATGCTGCTGCTGTTGGTTTTCCTTGAAGTGCACCGACCAGCACGGGACGGAAAGCGCCGACGGAGTTACTGCGGCGGCGCCTTGAGAAACAGCGGGAAGATTCCGAGTCGGGACGAGATGATCCGTTTCCGACGAAGGCAGTGAACCGCCGCTTAGTAGCCAGAAGCGTTGGTGCGGATTAAACGCGTCTTCCTGAAACGGGAGCACGTCGGGAGGGTCTCCAATCATGCGAGGCGTAGGGGAGAGTGGTAAAGTTGGCTGCGGTCGAATCGCGAGCTCTTGAATGAGCGGCTGATGCGGGCCGGCAGGAGGGGCCTGCATAGCGATACCAGGGACGCTGCTATAATCGTTGCTCCTTGTATCGGTGCTGCTTATATCGAAGTTGCTTGTGCTAGCGATGGAACGAGCACGGTTGGCCCGGCTTTCGACCTGGCTAGGCTCTGATGGGTCTTTGTTCGACTCGTTTCGAGATCGTACAAGATTGGAGGCGCAGCGAAGGGCACCACAGGCGGCAGCAGCCTGAGTTATTTGCGACGCTACAAGCGGAAGGAGTTTGTGAGTCACGACTCCCGCCATGGCTGACTGGTTTAGCGTGAGGGTAAACTGATCACAATACGAAGAGAAGCAGCAAAAGCAAGTTACGTTTGGCTTTTGGCAAAAGACAGACAGACTATGCGAGGGTGAAGACAGGATGATATGTTGCTTGATTGAGCTATGTTTTATCGCAAACGAAGGTGAAAGCGACTGATATTATGCGATGCAAGTAATCGACGATCTGAACGAGTTTTGGTCGTGATCGAGAGGTGTTTTTGTATCTTGCAGTCTGGTCACTCGTGTGGGAGATGGGAGGTGGGAAACCCTGTGCGACGAATTTGTTCTAGGCGATTCGGGATACACGGGGCATATGCTGTTGGCGAATGCGATGGAAAATTTGCCTGGTCCTGGAGCCGCGCTGGAAGGACGTGAGGGAGTCAACCCATTCGAACCGCTCCGCATTGCTCGGCTCTTCCGCCCACCCCCATCACTGTACAGCGAGTCGTTGTTATCTCGCGTCAGCACATTTGGGATGAGGCCCCGTCAGCACTTCGTCATCCATCCCTCATCAGCTGCATTTGACGGTCTACACGCGGAATATAAAGCCAATCACTCTCCAAGATTCCACGCAAGCAGCTACCGTAGGTCGATGGAGCTGACCAGTCAGCGGCGGGAAGATGTCGGCGTCAGTGTCAGTTTAGGTTTGCTTGTGTGGCAGCAGCACGCGTGGGGGGAGGGGACCACAGAACAACTGAAACGACGACCTCCAGATTTGGCAACCGGACTGGGGTGCAGCAAACTTATTAAAAAGTCTTACTTACGGAGAGGGGAGCAGCAGCAAATATGGGGCTTACACTTATATCATCGCGTAAGATCTGTTACTGCTCAAGTGTGTTGTCCTTCGACCCGCGTTGTTTTTTTCGGTTACAACACCTTCGCAGCATGTCATCCAGGTCAGCGGGAGCGAACGCATCGGCTACACCTGAGCCACCCACCTGTCAGCTGAAAGCACTGTTGACGGTTCCCTTGATCGCTGTTTTTGCTTGAGGGGACACTGCCAGCTGTGCCAATCGAACCCACGCGCCCACCAGCAGCCGCCGCAACCACTTGACAGCAGAGCAGAGCACTGTTGCCGCTTCCAGGTGTGTGTTGTCTCTAAACGTTATTGGCTGAACGTGCCTGGCTGGGCATCACTGTTGTGGGAGGGTGGTGTCGTGGGTTGTGGACGTCAGCCTTGTCAGGCTTCCGCACCGCAGCAAGTCCATGGTGCTTTCGAATTGAATGGAGAATCAGGTTTACAACCATAACCTAAACACTGGAGAACACTTCTAGCTTATGTTCTATTAGAGACGAAATTTCACTAGAACGCTGTTGTACGAGACTACAGACATTGCGGCTTGCTGATACATTAAGGTGAATGTTGATTCAATATACTATTTGAGAACTAAAGTGAGCGGTGTGATAATCTAGGTCCATATGCAAGCTGGTGTATACTCCGTAGTCTGCACATACGTTTCCAGCTTATCATTGCTTAGCTTTGTAACGGAGGTCTTCACATCAGCACGCCAACATTACGTTACAGCTGACTCAATCGTGACTATATCGCTCTGGATCCAGCAGCCCATGACGTGTCCCTACGTCGTATTTCTGGCTCACGACGATGCAAATGGGGACCAGTGCGCTGCAGGTCACATGGTGGAATCTCGGGAATGTCGAACCGCATGTTCCATTCTTTCCTCCACTCGACCACCTCACCATCCATCCATCCACTCAACACCACTCACTCGGAACTTTCTCCGTCTATCGGAAGTGCCAGCAGCATCCAGGTTCACGGTCTGCGAGCGAAAGCCAAATGGCTTTATCTGGAACGACAATGGGGACGTCAGGTGTCGGTTAGTCGTCAAGTATGGTGCGACTTTCGAACGGCTCAAGGAGGCTCTTTACGGTTAATAGGATTACGTTTGTTATTTATGGTGGTTGGATGGGGTATTCAGAGAACACCGATTTTTGTGGCTCGCCTTGCTGTCGTCAGCCATCCCTTTCTGTGTGTCCCCCCGCTCATCCATAATCGCTCAATTCTGCTGCCAACCATCCCTGCCGCTATACCAGACCTCTCGCACTGAACCGCGACATTACGTGCTTCTCAATTCTGCTGCCATCCATCCCCGCTTCTCGAGGAAATGACAGACCGCCCTGATTGCTCGTTTTCGATTCCTTTCGGCAGTGGCTTTGACAGCGACTCCCTCCGCGCTCGCGCTCCCTCCCTCCGCTTCTCTCGTCTTCATTAGCTTGCTTCTTTCCAGCTACTCTTCCTATTGATTCGTTCCTTTTTCAGTGTCGTTTCACATTGTCGACCCATTAACCTAGGTTGTCTCACCTTGTACAGTAGAAGGCGATTCGCCCATTTTCTTGTGCGCGCCTCGATAACCAATCATATGCCGTCCTTACACTTGCTAGAGGCTCCCCTAGGACTATCTCGCCCCTGCATAGCAGTACCTCCTACTCCTGGTACTAGCAATCACCGGGCCTTTGAGAATTCTCAGAAAACACAGGCTATGTGTAGTAGTGGTACTGTCTGTGGCAATCACGGGCCCGTCGCGTTCAGTAACTCTCCTTTCAGCCGCCATTCGTCGTCGCACGCCGCCAAACCCGCCGCTTTTCCCGGACTTTTGCGGAATTCCGGCGGCGTGATTCGCTGCTCTCCTGGTCGTTCGTCGTTTTCGCATCTCCAAACACGAGCGACGATACTATCAAATGGCTACTCTGTTGCAACGGACGCATCTTCACCCGCTGTTTCATCCGGCGTTTCGGAGACAAGTCTTGCTCCCGTTCTGCACAGACTCGTCGATTCTCGCCCTCAAATGTGTACTTCTGCCCGAAAAAGATTGCCTCGTACGCGGCGGATCCAGCAAGCGAACGTGACGGCAAACCAGCAGCCAATTGGCGCCCGCCACGTGGCTGATAATCAGCGGCCTGACGAGGAAGCAGTAGCGCCCGTGATTCCGTGGTACGCACGACACCTCCTGCTGCCGCATCGTCCGGCGGGATTAGCGGAGCTCCACGCGGCGGAATTTGCGGTCAGGCAGCTGCCGGAAGGCGTGGACGCAGAAAGCGTGGAACTTCGAGACGGGCAGCTGAACGGGCAGGTGAACGGGCAGGAAGCTGCGGAGAAAAAACAACAGCAGCGGCTTCATCAGTGGCCGGACCTCTGGCAGCCAGACCATGGCGAGGCGCGCTTAATCGACAGCAGCGGGAAGCGGTTGCTCGAACCGCGAGCGTTACTAGTAGACGCGTTTGGAACATTGGTCGAAACGGCGGAGGAGGAGACCATGGTGTACGCTTCTATCGGGCAGAAATTCGGCGTGGAGATTAGTCCAGAGGAGATTGGGAGGCGGTACGAAGTGGCCTATAGGAAGCCATGGCTGCAGTCCAAGCTAAGGTAAGCACAAAAATCTGAATTCCTTACCTATTTTTCCGTAAATAGTCGAGACATGTCGCGTCAACATGTGTCAGGGTTACTCATTCCCTAGTTCTGACTGTTTTGACTGTTGAGAGCCATAACCTATGTTAGTTTCGTACTTGCTGACGTGTTCTGCATGGCTCTGCTGGCTCCGTTGACTCGTTTGACTCCCTATCTGTCGTGACTGTTGTGACTCGACTCCTCTCTACCCTCTTCTTACTGGCCTGTTGACTCTGTTGACTCTCTGACAGATAACTCGTTTTGTTGAATATGTTGACTCCGTTGACTCTGTTGACTCTCTGACAGATAACTCATTTTGTTGACTCTGTTGACTCCGTTGACTTCCTGGCAGGTATGAAGGCGACGCTCTGCCCTTCTGGCATCACATTATTTCCGAACCCCAGCTACACGCAAGAACTCCACGGCTACTACATAAAAAAGCACGCGTGGAAATTCACCGATCCGAACGCTCGGGGCGCGTTCGCCGCGATCCGTCGCGCCGGGATCAAGGTCGCGCTCGTGTCGAATTTCGACACGAGGCTCCGGGACCTGCTCCGCGCGCTCGACTGCTACGATTGGTTCGACGCCGTCGCGGTTTCGGCCGAAGTGGAGGCGGAAAAGCCGAGCGCGGAGATTTTCCATGCGGCGTGTGACATGCTGGGGGTGCTGCCGCATGAGGCGGTGCATGTGGGGGACAGCCGGAATAAGGACGTGGCAGGGGCGAGGAGGGCCGGATGTGGTGCGGCGTGGCTTTGGAACGAAGACGTGCGTTCGTTTACAGAGGTGAGGGAGAGGGTGGTAGTTGTTTTCGTTTACGGAGGTGAGAGGGTGGGTGGGAGAGGGCCGGTTTTGAGTGGAGTGAGAACAGGGCCGGGTGCGACGCGAAGTGGCTCTGGAATGAAGACGTGCATTCGTTTACTGAGGTGAGAGTAAGGGTGTTTACAGAGAGTTGGAACAACATAGAGTATTCATTCCTTGAGTTGAGTGACGGGTGGAATACCCTTGAAAGACATGCTGTGTGGAAACAAGGCAATGAAAAACGTAAGGAGATACGAAGGACTCTGAGCCCATTCGCAAAGGTGCGTTTGAGATATGGGGAGAAACCAAGCGTAGAAATTCTTTCGAGCCTCTTTAGAAGGCATTTACTCCGGTTCTTCACATGGGTGAGAGAGAGGGTGTGAAGTGATGGTGTTGTTTCCACAAGGTGGGGATGTGCAGCATTGTGGGTGGAAACAAAGTCATGCGCAAAGCTGTCACAGAGGTGAGGGTTTTGAGGCGCCTCAAAACTCGTATGTTTTCCAACAAGGGTGGGAAGTGCAGCATTATGGGTGGGAACGGAGATGTGATATTACCCTTCACGGAGGTGAGCTTGGTAGATCGAGAGTAGCCCAGTTATGGGACAGCTCAAAGTTATGCCCAGTTAGCGGCAGAAGAAGGGTGCGGATTTCTGCAGTTGCTTGGAAGCAAGGAACTGACGTTGTTGGTGATGTGATAGGTGTGGATGATTAGGACTTGCCGTTTGCATCTGTTTTCCCTTCTCCCAGCTTTCTATGTCTCCTGCTATCACCACTCACATATGTTTTCCGCATTTGATGTGTCAGTGTTTATTTCCTCTAACTTGTTTCGACAACACACCCTTGTCTTTGCATCCAGGTAGCACAGCGGTTGGGAGTTTCAATTCCTGCAGCATCACAGGAGGCTGAGCTCGTTCGCTTCCTCTGAGCATGTGCCAACAATTCATCATGGAAGAAACAAAGGCTGAAAGGCTCAGATCGTGAAGGAAAGAGAGGTGCAGATAGGTTCTTACCGTATTGTCATGCTGTACATATGGCTAAGTTTTTATTGTACAGAATATTGTGACTTGTGTACATCCTGGGTTGTACATAGTGGATTGTATATTCGTTTTGAGTTGTTGACATGTGCTTCAGATTCAAGTTATTGTGACTTGTGTACATTCTGGGTTGTACATAGTGGGTTGTATATTCGTTTTGAGTTGTTGACATGTGCTTCAGATTCAAGTTGCGCATAAAAAGTATGAAAGTGGTTGATATCATGGCTTAAATTTTGATGGAGTGGAAGGCTGTACAGCAGATATAAGCTTGAACGGACTCTTGTACGAAAACCGTATACCCCTTCCGCGGCTTACAAGGGATACGTACTGTACCGCGTACATACGCTCCTCGCCTATCATGCATGGAACCGGCTGACACTATCCCAGTGTCAGGGCGGAAAAATGCGGGGACAGAGAAACCCAGATTTCGTGCTGTGCTGCAGCAGCAGTCCCCCCCTGCCATCCCCTTCATGCGTCAGTCGCTTGTTCGTGCGAATTTCCCGTGGCGCCCAATGCCTTCATTTTGGATATACATGCCGAGTCGCATCCGCGCCCCGTAAACAAATTCGTTCCTCCAACCGGATATTCAACAAATTTGTACACAGTCCTGTGAGAGTGTTCAACCACCCACAATATCGCACGAGTGGCCTGTGTAGTGTTTCTGTGTTTACTCCTGCCGTCGTCAGGCAGAGTCGTAAGTTGCGTCGTCGTGAGGCTGCAGCAGCTAAGAGATATCAAGCGCGACGACTTTCTTGATTAGCTAGGACGGCACGATATGTGGCGATCAGCATTGACAGCTGTGCGTAATCACTCGCAAGCTAAACTGTTGGCGAGGATGTCATGTCAATGCCATCAGTAAATTGGCCCACGCTTCGTGACGGGTTTGCAGCTTAGATGTTCGCTAGAAGTGATGCATCGTTGTGCTCGGCGGGCAATGGTTACCGCGAGATGCTATGATGCCTTGGTCGGGACCTTATTCGAGAGATGCCGTTCATGTTGCATCTAACGAGCATTCTGACGACGATAGCGACGATTACTCTCTAGACATGCTCAACGAGCTTCTGACGCTATTCTATAGACATGCGCATTGAGCATCTAACGACTTTTCTACGTTGCTCATGACAGCTATTAGTGCCCCTACTGTAACATTCGATTCAATAACGAGCTTTTTATTACCGGCCCGAACCTTAATCCGGAGCGACGGACTTAGGGGAAATAAGAGGGAACAAAGGCAGCAGCGAAAGGTAATAGAGGTAGTTAGGACTTTCGGTACGTCTCATTCTGACCGTCGATCGGACGAGAAAGCGCCCAACAGGAAATAGCACGATGTTGATTCAGCGAAATCGTGGCAACGGTAGACGTTATTCAAGAAACAGTCCGATTTGTTCACATCCTCTCGACCTCGATCTTCGTCAAACTCCGTCTACGTTTCCTCCACGACGCCTCAACCGACGTCAAAGCCCGTTAGTTTTTCCGTCAGGAGCCGCCCTCCTCCTGTCTCTCCTGCTTCTCCACGGCCACTTCAGCCTCCCCCACTTCTCTCCGTTCCCTCTCATATTTCCCATCTCTAACCGCCAATCCCGCAGCTCTTACCTCGCTGCAGCCGCCACCTCACACGAAAGCGAACATAACAACGCGGCCGCGGTAACATCTTCGTTAGCCTTTTCGCAGTCGCTTTCGTCCGAGCCAATTGCGGGACAACAGCGACGACACCGGCATGCTCGCGGGCCCCACACCAGTCGCTGGAATGGAACTAGTAGCAGCGCGAAAAATGACGCGTATTTATATTTCAACATCCAAAAAAACACTTCCAAACACGATAGCCCTGATAATGTTGCGGATAACGTTGCTGATAATGTCGCGGATAGCGTAGCTGATAATACCGCGGATATTGGCGCGTCTCAGTCCACAGTCGTGGCCGCAGGGCCGCGGAACAACGCCCGCGACGGCGCAAGTGTCAACCGCACTGCCCGGGTCGCTCCGCCTGCGCGGAAGTCTCCGCCTGCGCGGGGGAAAGATCTTCCCGCGCGGACAACTGTCCCCGCCCCCCCTAAAGCGGTGCGGGGGGGATTCGGGGCGCGTAAGGCCGGAGATTCGGCGCCAACAGGCCGCGCATCGAATACGACAAGGGACAGCGCCCCCGCTTCAGCCGGCTCGAATCGCACCGCGCCGCGACCGAGTCGCCCCAGGCGCGCAACCAGTGGCGCAGGAAGGCGGCCGGGGAACGCGGATAGGCAGCCGGAGAACGCGGGGCGGCAGCCGAGGAACGCGACTAGGCAGCCGGAGAACGCGGGGAGACAGTCGGGGAGCGCGGGTAGACGGAGCAGCAGCGGCTCGAGCAAGAGGCGGACGGGTGGGCGGCGCGCCACCCCGACTCGACCCGTGTCGCGGGCGGTTCCGCCGCCCGTTCAGTTCGTGCGGCTGACGACGGCGAACAACGCGACTTGCCTGGACGGCAGGTGGGTGGCAGAGTGGGCGGCAGAGTGGGCGGCTGGTGGGCGGCAGAATGGGCAGCTGTGTGGGCGGCAGAATGGGCAGCTGTGTGGGCGGCAGAATGGGTGTCTGGGTGGGCGGTAGACGTGTGTGGTTTGACAGCGGTGTGAGCATCAACGCAGAAACAACAAGGATAAGTTTCGCGTTCGAGCTTGCCGCTGCATTGATTGATATTTGATGAAACTGCCGGGGAACGAACAGATGACACACCAGCCCTCCTCCCGTCTCCCCTTCCTCGCATCCAGCCGTCTGTTACACCTCCCCATTTTGCCCGCATCTTCCCCCCCATTCCTCCGCATCTTCCCCCCATCCGACCTCATCTTCCCCCCATCCGCCCGCATCTTCCCCCCATCCGCCCGCATCTTCCCCCCATCCGCCCGCATATCCCCCTACCGCCTGCGCAGCCCCCCCGCGTACTACCACACCGGTCTGGGTACGGACTTGGAGCAAACTTATGGCTCACCGAGAGTGTGGATTACCACTAGCCCCTCCCACCTCTCCTCCCTCATTCCCTGCTCTCTGTGCTCCCATCCCCACCAATCCGCCTGTGCAGTCCCCCCGCGTATTACTACCGGCCAGGGTAAGGCCTCGGAGCAAACAAGATTGTGCAAGGAGCAATTGGTTTACCACAAGCCCCGCCCACCTCCCCTCTAACCCTTTCTGTGTTCTCCCATCCTCCTCCCCCTATCCGCCTGTGCAGTCCCCCCGCGTATTACTACCGGCCAGGGTAAGGCCTCGGAGCAAACAAGATTGTGCAAGGAGCAATTGGTTTACCACAAGCCCCGCCCACCTCCCCTCTAACCCTTTCTGTGTTGTCCCATCCTCCTCCCCCTATCCGCCTGTGCAGTCCCCCCGCGTATTACTACCGGCCAGGGTACGGCCTCGGGACGAACAAGTGGCTTATATACCTCATGGTGAGTCGTGTCTCGTAACAAGCTCAGTGGTGAGTCGTGTCTCGTTACAAGCTCGCATAAGGGAGAGGGAGGAGAGGGGAGGGGGGCAGGGAGGGTGTCTTGGGGGATGGTTTCGTTAACGCCCTGGTTCTGTGGCAAGAACGCGGACTCATAACGAACACGTGAAGTGAGGGTGTTTTTGAACGAGACGTCTCAAAAACACCCTCACTTCACGTTTCGTTAACGTCCTGGTTCTGTTCTGTGGCAAGAACGCTCTGGTTCATTGATACATTGGAACTCATAACGAACAGAAACATTGATTTTGAGCTCAACCTTATATGGAGTTCCTCCACCCTTTTTCATCCTTCCCTCGCCTCCTTCCCTCCCCTCCTTCCCTCCCCTCCTTCCCTCCCCTCCTTACCTCCCCTCCTTCCCTCTCCTCCTTCCCTCCCCTCTTTCCCTCCCCTCCTTCCCTCTCCTCCTTCCCTCTCCTCCTTCCCTCTCCTCCTTCCCTCTCCTCCTTCCCTCTCCTCCTTCCCTCTCCTCCTTCCCTCTCCTCCGTCCCTCTCCTCCTTCCCTCTCCTCCGTCCCTCTCCTCCTTCCCTCTCCTCCTTCCCTCTCCTCCTTCCCTCTCCTCCTTCCCTCTCCTCCGTCCCTCTCCTCCTTCCCTCTCCTCCGTCCCTCTCCTCCTTCCCTCTCCTCCTTCCCTCTCCTCCTTCCCTCTCCTCCTTCCCTCTCCTCCTTCCCTCTCCTCCTTCCCTCTCCTCCTTCCCTCTCCTCCTTCCCTCTCCTCCGTCCCTCTCCTCCTTCCCTCTCCTCCGTCCCTCTCCTCCTTCCCTCTCCTCCTTCCCTCTCCTCCTTCCCTCTCCTCCTTCCCTCTCCTCCTTCCCTCTCCTCCTTCCCTCTCCTCCTTCCCTCTCCTCCTTCCCTCTCCTCCGTCCCTCTCCTCCTTCCCTCTCCTCCGTCCCTCTCCTCCTTCCCTCTCCTCCTTCCCTCTCCTCCTTCCCTCTCCTCCTTCCCTCTCCTCCGTCCCTCTCCTCCTTCCCTCTCCTCCGTCCCTCTCCTCCGTCCCTCTCCTCCTTCCTTCTCCTCCGTCCCTCTCCTCCTTCCCTCTCCTCCTTCCCTCTCCTCCTTCCCTCTCCTCCTTCCCTCTCCTCCGTCCCTCTCCTCCGTCCCTCTCCTCCTTCCCTCTCCTCCTTCCCTCTCCTCCTTCCCTCTCCTCCGTCCCTCTCCTCCTTCCCTCTCCTCCTTCCCTCTCCTCCTTCCCTCTCCTCCGTCCCTCTCCTCCGTCCCTCTCCTCCTTCCCTCTCCTCCTTCCCTCTCCTCCGTCCCTCTCCTCCGTCCCTCTCCTCCTTCCCTCTCCTCTTCCCTCTCCTCCGTCCCTCTCCTCCTTCCCTCTCCTCCTTCCCTCTCCTCCGTCCCTCTCCTCCTTCCCTCTCCTCCTTCCCTCTCCTCCTTCCCTCTCCTCCGTCCCTCTCCTCCATCCCTCTCCTCCTTCCCTCTCCTCCTTCCCTCTCCTCCTTCCCTCTCCTCCGTCCCTCTCCTCCTTCCCTCTCCTCCTTCCCTCTCCTCCTTCCCTCTCCTCCTTCCCTCTCCTCCTTCCCTCTCCTCCGTCCCTCTCCTCCTTCCCTCTCCTCCTTCCCTCTCCTCCGTCCCTCTCCTCCTTCCCTCCCCTCCTTCCCTCTCCTCCTTCTCTCCCCTCCGTCCCTCTCCTCCGTCCCTCTCCTCCTTCCCTCTCCTCCTTCCCTCTCCTCCGTCCCTCTCCTCCTTCCCTCTCCTCCTTCCCTCTCCTCCTTCCCTCTCCTCCGTCCCTCTCCTCCATCCCTCTCCTCCTTCCCTCTCCTCCTTCCCTCTCCTCCTTCCCTCTCCTCCGTCCCTCTCCTCCTTCCCTCTCCTCCTTCCCTCTCCTCCTTCCCTCTCCTCCTTCCCTCTCCTCCTTCCCTCTCCTCCTTCCCTCTCCTCCTTCCCTCTCCTCCTTCCCTCTCCTCCGTCCCTCTCCTCCATCCCTCTCCTCCTTCCCTCTCCTCCTTCCCTCTCCTCCTTCCCTCTCCTCCGTCCCTCTCCTCCTTCCCTCTCCTCCTTCCCTCTCCTCCTTCCCTCTCCTCCTTCCCTCTCCTCCTTCCCTCTCCTCCGTCCCTCTCCTCCTTCCCTCTCCTCCTTCCCTCTCCTCCGTCCCTCTCCTCCTTCCCTCCCCTCCTTCCCTCTCCTCCTTCTCTCCCCTCCGTCCCTCTCCTCCGTCCCTCTCCTCCGTCCCTCTCCTCCTTCCCTCTCCTCCGTCCCTCTCCTCCTTCCCTCTCCTCCTTCCCTCTCCTCCTTCCCTCTCCTCCGTCCCTCTCCTCCATCCCTCTCCTCCTTCCCTCTCCTCCTTCCCTCTCCTCCTTCCCTCTCCTCCGTCCCTCTCCTCCTTCCCTCTCCTCCTTCCCTCTCCTCCTTCCCTCTCCTCCTTCCCTCTCCTCCTTCCCTCTCCTCCTTCCCTCTCCTCCGTCCCTCTCCTCCATCCCTCTCCTCCTTCCCTCTCCTCCTTCCCTCTCCTCCTTCCCTCTCCTCCGTCCCTCTCCTCCTTCCCTCTCCTCCTTCCCTCTCCTCCTTCCCTCTCCTCCTTCCCTCTCCTCCTTCCCTCTCCTCCTTCCTCTCCTCCTCCTCCTCCGTCCCTCTCCTCCTTCCCTCTCCTCCGTCCCTCTCCTCCTTCCCTCTCCTCCGTCCCTCTCCTCCTTCCCTCTCCTCCTTCCCTCTCCTCCTTCCCTCTCCTCTTCCCTCTCCTCCGTCCCTCTCCTCCTTCCCTCTCCTCCTTCCCTCTCCTCCGTCCCTCTCCTCCTTCCCTCTCCTCCTTCCCTCTCCTCCTTCCCTCTCCTCCGTCCCTCTCCTCCTTCCCTCTCCTCCTTCCCTCTCCTCCTTCCCTCTCCTCCTTCCCTCTCCTCCGTCCCTCTCCTCCTTCCCTCTCCTCCGTCCCTCTCCTCCTTCCCTCTCCTCCTTCCCTCTCCTCCTTCCCTCTCCTCCGTCCCTCTCCTCCTTCCCTCTCCTCCTTCCCTCTCCTCCTTCCCTCTCCTCCTTCCCTCTCCTCCGTCCCTCTCCTCCTTCCCTCTCCTCCGTCCCTCTCCTCCTTCCCTCTCCTCCTTCCCTCTCCTCCTTCCCTCTCCTCCGTCCCTCTCCTCCTTCCCTCTCCTCCTTCCCTCTCCTCCGTCCCTCTCCTCCTTCCCTCTCCTCCTTCCCTCTCCTCCTTCCCTCTCCTCCGTCCCTCTCCTCCGTCCCCTCCTCCTTCCCTCTCCTCCTTCCCTCTCCTCCGTCCCTCTCCTCCGTCCCTCTCCTCCTTCCCTCTCCTCTTCCCTCTCCTCCGTCCCTCTCCTCCTTCCCTCTCCTCCTTCCCTCTCCTCCGTCCCTCTCCTCCTTCCCTCTCCTCCTTCCCTCTCCTCCTTCCCTCTCCTCCGTCCCTCTCCTCCATCCCTCTCCTCCTTCCCTCTCCTCCGTCCCTCTCCTCCTTCCCTCTCCTCCGTCCCTCTCCTCCTTCCCTCTCCTCCTTCCCTCTCCTCCTTCCCTCTCCTCCTTCCCTCTCCTCCGTCCCTCTCCTCCTTCCCTCTCCTCCGTCCCTCTCCTCCTTCCCTCTCCTCCTTCCCTCTCCTCCTTCCCTCTCCTCCGTCCCTCTCCTCCTTCCCTCTCCTCCTTCCCTCTCCTCCGTCCCTCTCCTCCTTCCCTCTCCTCCTTCCCTCTCCTCCTTCCCTCTCCTCCGTCCCTCTCCTCCGTCCCTCTCCTCCTTCCCTCTCCTCCTTCCCTCTGCTCCGTCCCTCTCCTCCGTCCCTCTCCTCCTTCCCTCTCCTCTTCCCTCTCCTCCGTCCCTCTCCTCCTTCCCTCTCCTCCTTCCCTCTCCTCCGTCCCTCTCCTCCTTCCCTCTCCTCCTTCCCTCTCCTCCTTCCCTCTCCTCCGTCCCTCTCCTCCATCCCTCTCCTCCTTCCCTCTCCTCCTTCCCTCTCCTCCTTCCCTCTCCTCCGTCCCTCTCCTCCTTCCCTCTCCTCCTTCCCTCTCCTCCTTCCCTCTCCTCCTTCCCTCTCCTCCTTCCCTCTCCTCCGTCCCTCTCCTCCTTCCCTCTCCTCCTTCCCTCTCCTCCGTCCCTCTCCTCCTTCCCTCCCCTCCTTCCCTCTCCTCCTTCTCTCCCCTCCGTCCCTCTCCTCCGTCCCTCTCCTCCTTCCCTCTCCTCCTTCCCTCTCCTCCGTCCCTCTCCTCCTTCCCTCTCCTCCTTCCCTCTCCTCCGTCCCTCTCCTCCTTCCCTCTCCTCCTTCCCTCTCCTCCTTCCCTCTCCTCCGTCCCTCTCCTCCGTCCCTCTCCTCCTTCCCTCTCCTCCTTCCCTCTCCTCCTTCCCTCTCCTCCGTCCCTCTCCTCCTTCCCTCTCCTCCTTCCCTCTCCTCCTTCCCTCTCCTCCTTCCCTCTCCTCCGTCCCTCTCCTCCTTCCCTCTCCTCCTTCCCTCTCCTCCGTCCCTCTCCTCCTTCCCTCTCCTCCTTCCCTCTCCTCCGTCCCTCTCCTCCTTCCCTCTCCTCCGTCCCTCTCCTCCTTCCATCTCCTCCGTCCCTCTCCTCCTCTCCTCCTTCCCTCTCCTCCTTCCCTCTCCTCCTTCCCTCTCCTCCGTCCCTCTCCTCCTTCCCTCTCCTCCTTCCCTCTCCTCCTTCCCTCTCCTCCTTCTCTCCTCCTTCCCTCTCCTCCTTCCCTCTCCTCCTTCCCTCTCCTCCGTCCCTCTCCTCCTTCCCTCTCCTCCTTCCCTCTCCTCCTTCCCTCTCCTCCTTCCCTCTCCTCCTTCCCTCTCCTCCTTCCCTCTCCTCCTTCCCTCTCCTCCGTCCCTCTCCTCCTTCCCTCTCCTCCGTCCCTCTCCTCCTTCCCTCTCCTCCGTCCCTCTCCTCCTTCCCTCTCCTCCTTCCTCTCCTCCTTCCCTCTCCTCCTTCCCTCTCCTCCGTCCCTCTCCTCCTTCCCTCTCCTCCGTCCCTCTCCTCCTTCCCTCTCCTCCTTCCCTCTCCTCCTTCCTCTCCTCCGTCCCTCT